CGAATTTTGTGGGTGGCTTGAAATCCTCAATCTCTCTGCCCTCGTGATATTGCTGCTTGTGATTGACATGTGTACATATCAAGGACAGGATTGGGAGGTGGATGAATCAGAACAGGCTCATTTTCAGACAGCATTCTGCAAACGATACCTTCCCTGGCTCAAGAGAAAGCTGTCATTGAGCTCCATGGATGCTAGTCTGACAGATGCTCACTGGAAAGAAGGGGTTTTCTACGTTTGTTTGCTTTACCCACCCCAGAATGCAGAAAAGACTGATTCAAAATCCCTAACCAGTTCTGCTTCATCTCACAGTCTTGGTGACTTGGTTTCATGCAAACACTGTTGAAAACAGCAAGGGTGCTGAAATCTTCCATGTTTTTACTGGACAAAGGCTCCAAGAGCAAATCAAGATTGTGTTGGATTCTGTAAGAGCAACTCCTGCCAGCCCGAAGGAAGAGAGCACACAGCACACAACAACCTCACATGAGTCTGAGCACAGAGGGGGATCCTTAGAGACTATCAAATACAAGGGAGGTATACTACTCACCTGAGCACAGAGGGGGATCCTTAGAGAACGGTTCAAGGATCCATGTGCCCAGGTGTCACACTATATAGTCAGCTGTGACAAGTGACTGATGATGATGGGATATCACTGCCATGGAACAATGGCAGATGACAAGTAGATAATGACAAACCCAGATAAGATAGTGAGTGGCTCAGAGGGGCCAGTGATGGCCAGCTCCTGAGACACCAACAGTGGAAGGCCACACTGGAGGAGCCCAGTGGCCAGGCCAGTGCCCGGCCGGCCAGTGGAGACATTGGAGGCGAGGACCAATGCCCAACTGGGAAGAGGGGTGGTGCGGATGAGCGCAAAGGCATCTGGTACGAGCCTGTACGGCAGTAGACCACATCCGCGGGGAGAAGGCCAAAGTGAAGGGGGAGGAGTGCATACGGCAGTAGCACTCCCTGGTGCAAGGAATCGGGCTTGGCTAGACCGCTTGCGGGGATTTGAGGGAGATGGCCGGGGGAAGGAGGGAGAGGGCGGATGTCGGCATGGATGGAGATGAGGATCGGAGGAGGAGGAGGAGGCTGGGTGATCGACAGGTGAGCAGGCACGGGTCGGCAGAGAGGGCGCAGTGGGTCACGTGCATGGTCACGTGCCCAAGGAGCGCGGCGTCCCCTGACAGATTCCATGAATGCTTTGCTGTGGACCAAATTTGTAAAAGAACTTGGAAGTTCAAGTGATTTGACACATAATCTCTTCTTCCGGTTCAGTGGAGAGGAGTTTGTTTTGGGCTAGTTAGCTACATATTGTCTGTACTTGAAACAATGTTGAGTGGAACTTATGAATGTTCAACTAACCAACGGCATTGGTTTGAGCCCTCCGACCATCATCCACTGCCCTTCCCAGATTCTACCACAAAATATCGGCCGGCGGCGGGAGTATTGGGTGCTAATTGATACATATGTTGCACTGGATGCCTGTCTCTGCTCATTCCTGTGTGACATCAAAAGCCGGCCTGTGGATGCGGCCGTGATCTCAAGTTTTTCAGCCAAAGAGTGACTGGATCTTCAATTGTCCCTGGACAAAAAGCCGGCACTTTCCTATTGGAACTGAAGGTCATTCTTGTTGGAAAAAGTGGGTCTTTCGAGCTTACTGCAGTCTGCTGCAAGATGCCAACAGCTGCCAGAGACAAGGAATGCCGGCTGTTGATGCTCGACTTGATCAGCTTGATGGTCACTTTCTGGTAACAGGGTGTTCATGTTCACTTGAGTGATGCGGGGTACCTGCTAGTAGAATGGGTGGTGTCTTTTTGGTGCTGCCTCTCAGGCGGTGTCAATTTGGAAGTGGTGAATTTTCCGAGTATCTTTGGAAGCAGGGTATTTTTTAAGTTGAGAACATTGAATGTGTGTCTTTTTGTGCTATGACTCAAAGTGGTGCATATTCTATGTAATAACGCTCCAAGCAGTGCAAAAAGTGTTGTTTTCACCTAACCAGTGCACTTTTTTTTTTTTTAATTTTGGCACTCTATTTCAACCATACTCTTTCTCCATTCTGGTAGAGTTGCACATCACAACAGCAGTGATGCAAAACTTGTCCCAATTCTGACCAGCAACAGGTGCAGCACAAACAGGGCAATTGGGGGGGGGGGGGGGGGGGCAGATGGAAAGAAACTTGTTTCATCTGTATTCCATCTGTCCTCAGGTGCATACTTGGCCATGATTTGTTGTACGCACTTCATCTGACTCTCCACAGCCTGCAAGTCAACAGAGGCAGCCTCTCCATGCCGTTTGCGTTCCTGTACATTGTTCCTGTCAATCCCATTGAAATGCTGAGGGCGCGCTCACAGGTGAATCTACTATGAAAGTAAACCCAAGTATAAACACGTTCACACTCCTTGTAATCAGCTTCTCAGTGTGTGAAAGATGCGAGGGCTTTGGGGTGGACAGAACACCAGTATCACAACTCTCAATAGACGCAGATCCAATAGTCGCGGAAGACAAAGTCAACGACAAGAATTTATATATAGCAAACAATGGTGTCTCAACCAATATCTTCTATACGAACAAAACCAACACTAATCCAATCACAACCAACAATATAACAAGTCAGAGCTTAATACGGAGTATTAAGATCCCTTGTAGCGACAGCGTCCAGATGGTGACGCAAAGCCCAAATATCAAGTCGACGCACTGCCAACTGACACAACCAAAAGTACTGAGTCGACGCACTGCCAACTAGTAAACCAAAATGCCGCGTCGACACACTGCCAACTAACAGCCAATATCCAATGTCCAAAACCCGAGCACAACTTGTCAACGCACTGCCAAGCAAGAAGTGTGGAACCAAAGTTCTCAAGTCGACGCACTGCCAACTGACCAAAACAACCCGAGCACAACTAGTCGACGCACTGCCAGGCTAGAGGTGTGGAACAATCTCAACAAAGCCCGAAGGTGACGACACTAAATGCCGCGACTAAACCAGATGCGGCAAATCCGACTTTCTGATGTCTCAACTCAAAACTCAAATCACAGTAGCTACAAGTGCTCAGGGAGCAACTCGTCGCGACCGGGCAGGGATGGCAGAACTTCTTAGGGTGGAATCACGCGGCACGCAAATTGTACAAAACAATCTGAAATGAGAGTGATTCACAGTCCGGGGGAAAGCTCCTTAATACAAAGAAATGACGTGCTACTTATACTGTCTACAACAATGCTTAGTAAAGTCCTGTACAACTGCATAGTAGCTATGCTATCTAAGATCGGTTGCCTTTTAGAGTAATGAAAAGTTGGACGACCGGACAGGTCCTGAGTGATCAGGACCCCGCCCCATAGTCCATATGATACTTTTGATGTGGGTCAACCCACCGCGTCATACTTTGGAATACAACGTGTTGGATTGGCCAACGGGTATGTCTTGGCAGGTAAGGCCAACGTGGGCACCCCAAGAAGCCGTATGGTCCTAGGCACGCCAGCCGTTCCTCACATGGTTTGGTTCACGGATCTAGCCCGTGTCGATTTTAGTGTGTTTGGGTATGGACGCGACTCGCCGTGACACTTGGAAGTGTCACCGCGACGCGTCCACAATGTCCCGTGATCGAATGGATCCTGACATGTGACAAGTCGTCGTCGTGACATGATCTGAGGAAACGTCCAACTCAAAACCAGGAGTTGCCGCGACAAGATTGGTTCAATCTTGTAACGTCAAGTCCTGTCCAGTAGTAGTCATATTATTGAGAACGTCGCATATTGCTCAGCCCTTCAGCCCAAGTTCCCATCTGCAGAGAATGACCCTTTTGAGAAGTCGCCGCAACAAAAGATCCCTTTTTGGGGAATTGTCGCGGTCCAAGCGTTCGTCACTAATGGCCCTGAGCCTGGTATTAGACTCATAAGACCAGTTCCACAGTAGTGGTCTGACTGCCTTGCTATCGTCGACACTATCCACAGTCGTTGACTGGGCAGTAGACCCTTAAGCCCTACTGAACGTAACACTGTCAACCGCAACACGATACACCAAATGGTTCGAGAGTAAACTCTGTAAAAAGCGCAAAAATACGCCCTTACAGAGCTGGTGCAGAGCGTGTCTGGTAGCCAGCCTATCACCGTCAATGTCAATTGGACAATTGCTGCAAGCTCTTTGCATTGTAACTTACACAGCTTTGAATGACTCTAGTCAACCCATGCCCATCAAATGCTTCTTGTTAGGAACATTCATCACCTCTTCCAACTGCTTCCTCTTCTCTACCAGCATCACACCCATCACTGTGTTCTTCTTTTGCTCCATATCCTGGACCCAGAGCAACAGAGCTTCATCAACTGTGGGGCAAGTGACCACGCGAGCGTGCTTCTGGGATTGAGCACCCAATATGTTTGCAACATAAGCCTGAATCTCATCCTTCTTCTTGATCTTCTTTAACAGTGCAGACTGTGTGAAAAGAAGCTTGCAGCTGTCCTTGTCAGCCCAGTTCCAAAAGTGATCCACCACCTGACATTGTGTCTGACTGGGTTCTTTGTCCATGTAATCAAAGATTTAAATCCAGTGAGAGCAGGTCAGATCCTGACCGCCATCAACATTGAGGCAGAGGCAACCAAGGTTCAAAAGTCTTGATGAATTCTTTGTACACACATTGTCCTAGGTACTGTACAAATAAATGCGCATTTTTGGCGATTTTTTCACGATTTTTGGACGCGTTACTGACCTACTTGGTCATATGGAATATCTGCCATATGGAATCAGGCTTGAGCGTCCCCTGTCAATATTCCATATGACCAATTCAACTGTGTGTGAAGTCTGCTCTTTGGACCCTCAATTGCCAGGTGTCCCAGTCCTGTACTGTGGTTGTTCCCCATATCTGATGCTTGGGCCTCGAGGTTGCCCCTACAAAAAGCCAAACTTTCAGTTGTACTCATCCATCAAGCTGAGAATTCCGAAGTGTGAATGTATAGGCTGGTAAAGCAACAATACACAGGTTTTGGGCAATCTTGGGTATAGGATGATGTTCAAACACTTGAAATACTTTGCATGAAATCAGAATCAACCTTAAATGCCAAATATATTAGATTGTGTGAAGTGACCCTGAACAGATTATATAGGTATAGAATATGAAAGTGTTGCTCCAAAGAATCAAATGAGAGGTAGATTATGTGAAGCATAGGTGAATTATGCGGTCGTTGCTCTCCTCCTGGCGAGGAAAAACACACGAAGTGATTAGTACTTGCCGCCAGAGATCTGAATAAGGGCGTCAGATAATCGATTTAGGGGTGGTATCAGAGCAGGAGAACGCACCTTGGCCTTGTCCATGGCGATCGCGTGGCCCTTGCCGGCGGAGGTGATGTCGAGGCCAGAGAAGTCCCACGTGCCAGTGCAAGCACCGCAGTCAACGACCAGTCCATATGCGTTGCTGGTACCAGCGACCGTGGTCGGAGAACCAGAGAAGCTGACGCCAGAGATGGGTCCGCCAGTTCCAGGCTTGCCGTTGTTGGCGGGGTAGCTCTGAGTGATCAGCACACCGTAAGAGCTGATGCCAGAGAGCTTGTTGCTGTTGGGCGTTCGGTCAGCTACAAGACCAACGGCTGTGGCCGCGACACGCACCCAGAGTAGAGGACATTAGAAACCTTGGCATTCGTGGCAGAAGCTTGAACCTTGATGCGGATCCCGTACAAGCTGTTGGTGACGGTGTTGCGCAGCGCCTGGAAGTTCGTCACGCTCTTGCCCGTGGCGATCGAGCCTATGGAGATGCCGTGGCCGTTGGCGCAGTTGTTGTCCTCGAAGATGATGTTGTTTCCTGAGTTGAGTGCCAGACAGTCGTCCTGGTTCTTGACCGTGCACGACGAGATCGTGACGTCGTCGGCGCTCACGTCAAACCCGTCGGTGTTGTGTCCGCCCTTGGAGTCGCCGAGCGCTGAATAGCCAGCCAATCAACACCGAGAATCAGACATGCAGATGCAGCGCAGTCACTTACAGTTGTCGACGGTGACATGTGAGATCGTTGCCGCACCGCCGGTGGTGCCGACAGAGATCGCTTGGGCCGGCGAGTTGAGGACAGTGAACTGCTGGAAGGTGCCGTAGCCCTTGACCCTAGAACACGATGTCACTACTGTACGCGCGCACAGAGCAGCAGCAGGGAGTCCACATACTTGATGAAGGGGTGGGGCTTGAACGAACCGCCGTTAGTTCCTTTACCGTCCCAGTAGGATGCACCATTGCCGTCGATCTTGTGGTTTCCTCCCACGAAGTTGATTGCAGGGGTGTTGAAGGTGAAGAGAGGACCAGGAGCTGTGAAGAAGTCAGCGCTACAGAGCACAACACTTGTCATCGAAGGACGAACTGGTCGTCTTTGCGAAGACGACATCGCCGGCCAGTGTGACGGTCGCGCCCTTGGCGGCCTGCAATAGCGCGTCAGATACGAGCAGTCAGGACAAGCCCTCCAGCGATGCGTACAGCAATTGTGATGGTGTTGCCTGCAGGCACCGTGAAGCCCTGGATGACAACGTTGGTGCAGCCGCTCAAGTTCTTCGAGCTGGCCACGCTGTTGACCGTGCAAGTCGCGCGCTTGCCGTTCTCGATGACGGTCATGTTGCTCGGCAGAGCGAGCGCAGCGCCGACGAGGGCAGACAGTTGAAGGAAAGTGGTGATAGAGGGCATGTTGAGTGCGATGGGGAGGAAGGGAAGGAAAGAGGAATGGGTGATGATGATTCCGGAATCTGCGTCCGCCCTATTTTATATCGCTTTGCATCACAGCCCATTCAGGAGACGGTGAGCTGCTCATCCACACCTCGGTCCATGCCGCCATGTGCTCAGCAGCGACTGAGTCCGAGCCCGAGCATCGTCAGGATCGTACGTTTGGCCGAGGATCAGCGCGCAAGAATCAATTCTCGCCCGTCGCAAACGAGGCTCCGGCCGCCAATCGGGCCCATCGAAGCGACGGTGATCTCTGCTCGAACTTCAATTGAGCTCGCTTGTGCAGCACACGCTGTCGGAGCTTACCACGGCTTGTATCTCTGCACAGCGCACACTTGATGTCATATTGAGGTTCCTGTTTCCCTGTTCTCGCCCGGTGAGTGCCCTCAGCTCGCACCACACAGAACGGATTCGGTTGCGATGCGACCGTCCAGATGCCATGTTTCCAGGGTGGGTAAACCCGGTCGTAACCGTTACGCTAGAATCCCTTCCTTTTCGAAGCGACTGGATCACATGTCGTAAGATATACTCATGCATTTCAGGATTGCGAGCCTGGCTCGCAGTGTCTCTGTGTCTGTAGCGGGACCTCTTGGCTACTCGATGCTGGTCCTCCGACCCAGCAAAGGGTGTCGCCTGTGGGTACTCGGAGATCGTTTTCGATTGTGCCTGATTCGACGCGTTTTCTCGCCGGCGACCAGTGCGTTACGAAGCGCAGCGGTCTCCCAATCCAGGCTCCGAAGAAGTCCCGGAGCACCCAGGGTCGAGACACCTCGCCTGCGCTGGGAGCAGCGATCCGGAACCGAGGCCAGGTGGGAGCTCGCTAGGTCGATCCTGATTTTTTCCTGACTGCCGAGGCTCAGCGCTGAGCATACGAGCAAGCAGAAGTGAGTGCCGGAGTTCAGCCACCATTCGGCGCGAAAGAAGCGGGGAGCGTCCGGCACCTCTTCGCTCGTTGGGATGCCTCGCTGTCAGGTCCTCTGCTTTGAAACGGCGTGACGCCGGGGTCTCATGCGTATGTATATGGGACTTTGTCGTCGATGTAGACAAGAGCCACAGGAGCAACGTAGCATTGCGTGTGCGAAGCCATGGGACGAGGGCGGAGAGAGCATGAAGCCCGTGAGCGCTGGCGTCATGGGGCGAGAACGATACTCATCGAGCGTGCCAAAACCCCGCTATCCTGTCTGCGATCTGGCATCTCATCCGAGCCATCCCTCTGCGGTTATCCGCGTCTTAGATTCCGGCAGCTTCAGTTCCAAATCAGAGGGAATTCATGCTTGTTCGTCATGAAATTCAGTCGTCCAGCAAGGGCTGCCAGTCATGCCTGGGGAAGATGGCAGTTTTGGTCGCCAAATGGGGCGCATGTGGCTATGCTGTGCTGCTTGTCCCTGCTTCCTGCTCATCTCTCGACTGCTCTCAAGAGCCAGAATCCTCTCCTCACCGCCGTCGCCGACCTCACAATGAGCGGACTCCACCCAGAAGACAAAGACGACGATCAGACCCACTTTCCGGCAGGTCATCGGAGGCATGTACTTCGAGCAGCACTCACGGGTCTTCCGCGATCTTCCCTGTCTTCCGTCGCAGGACAGCATCTTTGGCTTGTTGGGACAGTGGTTGACAGGCCGACCATTTGATGCGTCTCCCTCCCTCGGTTACCCTCCTTTTCCGATGGCGTTAAGGTCCTTATTCACGAAAGATACGAGGCTTTGATCTTCAAACGCGTGCGATGATGATGAAGGCGCTAGAATTGAGTTGAAAGCAGGGATAGTTCCTTCGAACGAGCATGTCGCGATCTCTCTCATGCAAAATCATTTTCCCCTGTAGGCTTGAGCATTGGTGGCGCGATGTGATACGCCCTTTCCCGAGAGTTGCACAGTCCTTGTATATCACCCCACGTCCCCATCGACGAATTCACACTGTTTCGTCACCCCGGTGATCAGCACCCTCCCCACCTTCGTCGCCATCGCACTCGCCGGCACCTCGCCATTATATGTCCGGGATGGGCGCTCGAGTACATCTCCCTCAGGACGCTGATCGCCGCGAGCAGGTAAACACACCACAGCACGCTGCGCAACGGCCAGTGGGCGCGACGCAGCGGCGTGTTTGGACGTCGTGACGTCGGGCTGGTCGACAGATAGTTGCTCGTGGTGTTGGACTGGGATCTGGGTGCAGGGGAGCAAGGGATTACCGTGCAATGGCATGCGGTCATGGGGCTGCAAGACCTGATGATGACATCGGTTGATGCTATGAGGATGGCGATCTGGCCGGCCTCGGAAATCGTATCGCGTGACTTTCGTGGCAATGTTCAAAGCAAGATATGGAGAGGTCATTTCGTGGTTGCGGTACGAGCGCTTCAGTCAAATTCTGGGACGGAGTTTGTCTAGCGGGAAGTACGAGTTGTACATGATCCAATATCTATTTTCTCTCTCTGCGGTGGCTCCCGTGGGTTAAAATTGGTAGGTCGTGCACCACTTTTCCGGTGGCACTTGATATGACAGTCCATGCGTCTAGACGTCGGACTTCTCGTCATACGTGGCCTCGGGATAGTCCAAGTATCCGATCGACGGCTCAAAATCGCCCCCGTAGGCATGCGGCCAGTCTACCTCATTATCAAGCGGCTTTCCCGCCTGAACCCTCCATGCCAAATCCGAGTGCGACATCCAGGGGATGCCAATCGACACAGCCGGGAACCTCCCACTCCCCACCCACTCGATCGCCTCCGCAGGCGTGATCCCGCCATTGGGGATCATCGGCGTGTTCTTCAGAAATGGCGCGTAGGTCTCCAGTACGTCGTGCGGGGTCCCGCGCTTCGCGGGGTCGAGGAAGTCGAGATAGCGCACGATGCAGACGTACGCCAGTCCGAGCTTGTCGACCTCCTTGAGCAGGTAGCCGAACGTCGCAATCGTGTCGTCCAGCGCAAAGCCCATATCGTTGTACCCGCCGCCTGGTCAGCTGTAGTTAGCACGGACGTACGGACGGATGCAGGTTGAAAAAAGGGGACACGGACCAGGGTTGATCTTGAGCCCCACATTTGGGCCCCACACTCTACACACGGCTTTCATGATCTCGAGCGCGAACCGGGCCCGATTCTCCGGGCTGCCACCCCACTTGTCCTTGCGTAGGTTGGCGGTCGGGTCGAGGAACTGGTGGATCAAGTATCCCATGGCCCCGTGGACTGTGATGCGATTCAGCGATCAGTTGCGAACGAACGAAGCAATGCAGGTGGCGCCCACTTTCGAGACCGTCGAACCCGGCTTCTTTAGCATTTACCGCCGCAATTCTGAACAATTCTACGATCTTCATGGGGTCGGGGATCTCCGTCGGCTGTGCAACAGGATGAGCACACACACAGGTCTTTCAGTCACGGCTAGAAGTCACTGACGGTCTGGTAGCCCGGTATTCCGGGCAGGAATCGGAATTTTCCACCGGCAGCGCGAACGGCGGATGGGGCCCAAACGGGCTGCGATCCAGATCAAATTCGGCGACTGCCTCGTCCAATCCGGAGACGTACCTCTCCTGAAGCGATCTGATGGGGCGCGTCGGGGTGGCATGCACGCCCACCTGTTCACATGAGCCTGGGCTGCTGATCGGGGAGTTCTCGTCGAGACCTTACCGTGCATGATCTGGCAATAAATCCGCCCGCCCGCCGCATGCACCCCGTCGACGACGTTCTTCCATCCTGCGGTCTGCTCTTTGCTCCAGATCCCGGGCGAGTTGGCCCACTCAGTTCTGGTGCGTCATCCCGGTCAGCTGCACGATTTTCCTCCCGAAGGCAATCTGGTACGCACCCTTGCCTGCTGATGAGACTCGCCTCGGTCACGATCAGGCCCGCACCGCCCCGCACGCGCTGCACGTAGTAGTCCCGCATGATGTCGTTCGGGACAGTGTCTGTCGTGCGATTGCGCGCCATGGGTGCCATGACTGGTCCCCGATGTCAGTATCGCTGGCCCGAAAGGAAAACAACCGATGCTCACAGATTCGGTTGGACATGGTGACGGTGCCCAGAGTCACCGGGGAGAAGAGTTTTGCGATCGAGGCTGCAGTGTTTTCGGAGGACATGTTCAAAGTAGATGAGATTGCAAGGGATAGCGCCTTGGTTTATAAGCGCCGTCTTTTCTATAGGGGATCTTTGTGGCCCAGCAACGGGCCTGGCCAGTGAGGGACACGGTGTGCAGAAAGCTGACTGAGACGAGGAGCAGCATGGTCGCGTTGTGATGTGTAATGCTCGCTCTCCGTAGAGTCAGAGTCCAGCAATCTCGAGAGCTCCTGCCAAGATTACTCTTCTTGGCAAGATGACAGACGGATCATGATGCGAGTTCATCCGTCGTTTCATCATCCATCAGGACTAATGGGTCATCACGGACAGACATATCTGACGTCAGCAGACGTGAGAGATCACCAGCCCCGTCGATGATCATGACAAACCTACATCCGGGCAGTGCACCACTACAGCCCATGGCTGCGATACACACTCATGGGAAGCACGTCATCTTGATGGGAAGCGTTCTGAAATTCTCAAAGAACTCTGCTGCAGCGTCAGCACAGGCAACATGGAGACACATTCTCCGGCGTCCCAACGATGACCGGTAATCTTCCGAGGCCGAGCACCATTTTTCCACTATCCAGGCGTCCGGTACAACTCAGTCTGACATCGTGGCTGCCGCTAACCATGGCATCTTTGATGTTTTCCTTTCTCTCTTCCTTCAGCACTCGCCTTGCAGCTCCGAGATAGCACATAAATTCTGCACCAAATATCACGAACGCTTTCAACGCTGATGCTCCTTGGCACGCACGGGACTGCTGGTCAGGACGTACTCGCCAGCTTTGCACCCGATACAAGAAAACAATTCAGATGCGTCTGTCCTCGTAAGCACAGCTTCGAATAAGAGCGGATTTGCCCGGGCTAGTGTTGCCGCGGTTCAGTTCGGTCCGGTTTTCACCCAAATTCTGCGAACCTTGAACTGAACCTGAGGTCCGGTTCAGGTTCGGTCAAAGCGGGTGAACCGGACCTGCGGTTCGGTTCTTTCAGGTCAAGTTCAGGTTCGAACTTGGTTCGAACCTCGAACCTGAGGGTGCAAAATGCCCGCGCTATGCAACATGCAACAGGTACAGAGCGCCATCGTTGATCATAGCGGTGTGCATCATGTGAAGATTCACGTCCCTAGCAACAATTTTAGGCACCTGAGACTTTCCTGAGGGGATTAGAGCCATTGGAGTACTAGTCACATGACAAGACTGAAGCATCACGCACACGCACACATGTAAATACATTGCCTACGAGAAGCACATATGACCTGCTAGTCCACTATTATAGGTATGATAGCTGATTCCGTGGGAACATGCATGCTCAGAGGTGTATTTCTGCTACCAATGAGCCTATGACTACAGGCCAAAAACTCAGGTTCGAACGGGTTTGAACAGGTTCGGACCGGTCCAGATTTTTTCACCTCCAGCTGAACCTTGAACCGGACCATCGGTTCAGTCCGGTTTCGGGCATCTCGGCGAACTGGACCTGGGGTCCAGTTCAAGTTCGAACCGGGTTCACTCAGGTTCTGAACTGGACCACGGCAACACTAGCCCGGGCTGTGGGCGTTTCAAGGCAGTACGCCCGCTTCTCATTCCATTTACTTTAATTATCGGTACACTGGCTGGCGATAACACATCCCAGCACATGACCGGGACACTGATCAAGTAGTACAGCTGAAATTCTCGACGCTTTCTCTGTCCTTGGATCTCAAGCATTGCTTGCAGAGCGGTCCCGCGTCCCTTGTTCCATCCTGAAAGATATTTTTTGACTTTCATGGGTATTCGAGGAGGAGGCTCGGCTGGCTATACACATCATGCTAATCTGACCTTCTGCCTGTATCCGTCACAAGGATGGGAATCTCACGAATCGCTTATTTGGGGGAAACCTCGCCACGACTGCGCTCGACGACCACGAATGAGCGGGCCTCAGCTGCAAGAAACTTGCAAGATTATCATCGATGAATTATCACTGGATTAATGCAATTCTCACAGTTCTCTCCTCGTGCAATCTCTTCAACGCAAGAATAATATCTTCGAACAGCGAGACCTCTTATGCAAGAAATTATTTCGCTGTTCTGAATGATGGACGGCGATTCTTCTTCTCTGCGCCGATATCTTACTCATCCTGCAGCACAGTCAAATCTGAGCTGTTGAGAGTGAGCCTGCACAACCACGACCATACGATTCCAGATGGGGTAATCTCATGACTGGTCCGTAAACTATTGAGAAATATTTTCCGTTCCTTCAAATCATTCTCAGATTACTCAGTCCTCAGGTACGATACTCCACAGCCGAAATCGACAGGCCCTACAAAGAGATCGATCATGAGTCTTTGGATGCGACTCAAATGCAAGCGAAGAGTAAGGGAGGGGTTGAAAATTGGGACAGAAGCCCTTTGAGGTTTCTCAACAGAATGGTGGACAGAACAATAAATGTCATTTCGGATGCTACCATCCTCTAAGTATAGGTCCCCCGGATGTAGCCGGATTCCCATCACAGCCTCAAATGGATAGTCCCCGCCGCACATATCTGCCGAAGGAACGAAATTTTAGCGGATTGCCTTGTTCTCTTATCCTGTCAGAACCATCCCTTCATCAGGCTAAGTAGTCACCCACATTGTCTTTTAGTGAATCATCATGACGTTGGAAGCTCCCGTTTGAGGAGTCAGAGGCCACGAGACAGGCGTATGTGACTGAGGAAGACTTGAAAGCCGTGGGATGAGACGGTAAAACGGCAGAAGGGATAATTACTGCGCCCAGCTTTATACTGGACCGGATACGACCCAGCCTGTATTATTATCATACACTCGACAGATTGCGGAGGAAACGGGTCACGTGCCTACGCTCACGTAATATGCGCTGCGCGATTCTCGCTTGTTCGCTTTGATATGCTCCAGTGATCGCTGGAGGTCCCACCGTATAAAACAGAGACTTGAATGGGCTGTGAGGCAGAGTCTCAGAGCACCTTCAGCTTCTAACTAAATCTCTATCAGTACACACACCTGTCTCAACCACGACAATGTCGACAACCAAAGCAACCATCCGCCCTGGTGTCGTAGGCACCCTCTCCACCCCGGAGAGCCTGGATAAGCTCCGGGAGCTGCTCATTCGCGATGGCAAAGAGCATCACTGTTTCTCCAACGACCGCGGACTTCATAACCACCTTTCCCACCAGTACGTCGCGCCGTCGGCCTGACTCATAAACACTGACCGATCAATGCACCTCGCACGTCAGCCTTGTCTCGGCGTGCGACATGGGAGCGACCCCGAAGCAGCTCGAGGAGATATTCGAGAAGGAGGCACGGGGAGAGCGTCCCATTGGGAACATCGGGGTCCCGTTGGACGAGATGCGATGGCAAGCGCGGCTCGGAGATCGGAAGTATGTGCCCTCTCCCGGTTCTTCCTGGATCCTGAGCCTTTTCTAGTGCCTATGGTGCCTACCTCGTGTTCTTCACAGACCAGATCGCTAAAAAGGGTGTGACCAAGACACTCGAGGACTGGTTGATGTCTGCGCCAGCTAATTTCAACGGCGCATCGATGTTCTCGCGGTTCTTCGGTGGCGCGATGCATCCTCTTCTCCATGTTGGGGTGAGCTTGGGAACATATTCGTCAGGAAAGCGTCTGATTTCCCGTTCTTTGACAGTTTGGTGTGGAACTGGGCTTGGACTCACTGGTAGCTCAAGGTCTGTCCGCAGAAGCTCTCGTCGTTTTCCTAAGATCTCACTCGCCCTAGGTCTCGCTATGTGTGCCACATCTGAGGGTGATTTCGTATCTGTTGTGGGAGACCACTGGTCGCCAGCGATGCCAAAGATCCCTGAAGTTCCCACTAAAGGTGTCACACTCTTTTCAATTCTCCGCCAAGTGTACGACTCGCCCGATTTGGTGCCTGCGCTGCCATACGTTCCGAGCGATGCCAGTGGAGCTGGATTCTACGAGCTCTGCCACTCTCCCGTGCACACCCATGCTCTGCGCAGCTTATACTCCAAGTGGTCCATCGACACGACATTGGAGGGCGCCGCGTTCGATGCCGAGATCGACAAACGCGTCGAGGAAGCTTACTGGCAGGCGGTGTTGTTCACAGCCGGTCTCGGACGCACCGGTCGTGAGCCCCGGGTCGATTTCTTCCTGGTCCACACCCTGACCAGCGCCATCGTCCTACCGCGCCTGCTCGATGTGCTGCCGCAGAAAGTGCACAAAGTCCAGATGCTGCAGGGATATGCGCGCGCTTCCGCCCTTTGGCTCGTCGCGCGTGGACGGGCGCGGATCAATCCTTCGCTCCTCATGTCGTACTCCAATGACCCGGCGCCCGCGAGCCTCAAGACCAGCAATGTGACCGATCCCTGGACGCCGATCATCACCAACGGGCTCCGCTTCTTTGACTCCCACGTCATCAAGACAATCCGCGCGTTGTATTTTGGGCAGATTCGGTACGGCAAAGTCGCCGCGGGTCAGGTCATCGGTACGTTTGACAAAAGCGGCAAGGAGACTCATACCGGCCTTGCGGAGCTCGACGGTACGGCGTGGATCCGGGCGGCGGGTATCCTCCACTTAGCCCTCGGGTGGTCGTCGTTCGATAACGCGGCTGTCATGTGGGATCGCAGTGGGCTAGGTTGGGATGCAGCATGGGAACTTGAATAAGTGCTGGCCGAAATCTTCGACGGTGGCCTCAGTGCTATAAGAATGTAATTGAACAAATACGTCTGAAATGATATACAAGAACCCTTTTCCACAGTCCGAATCTTCATATGTCAATACACGCATGTTCCTTCTTTGGCGTAAGATCATATTTCAGTTGCTCCAAGACAGCATCTCAGATGCATTTGAAATCTTTGCCATAAAGAAGTAATCGTAGCGAATCTATTTCGCACAAACCACGAACAGAAAATCTGCAACCAATTCGCCCAAGCTGGTCTCGCGATTTTGTTCGACTTCGCTTCTTGCGATGAACTTGATAATGGTCCTCAAGAAAGATTTTGAGATGCAGCTAATACTACACAAGATGAACGCACGAACCAGGGCTCAAAGGACGGCTCTGTCACTCCAGGATATGATGAGAGCACGGCCCAAGGGATGATTGGGCGCTGACTCAGTGGATCCTCAGTTGACCAGACGCAGAAAATTATCAAGCGAGTGAAATCGGGTCAAAACACCTGATTCTTCAAGAACATACGTTTGATTAACCCCAACCCAAAGACTGAATGAAGTTAGAACGAATATTAATGCAGGGAGTGGTTCATCTGATCATCGTGATGAGGCATCACATATTTCTGTCCCTTATCCCGTCCACAATTGAATCGAGCGAGCGCTATGGCCTGTGTTTTTGTCACAGGAACTCAGAATTCCTCAAATGGGCTGTCTAAATGAATTGGTGCCGCCGGATGTGTTCGGCCCTGCGGGCCTCTCACGTGCAAAGCGTGTGACACTGTCAAATTCTCGTGACCGACCTGTTTTCATGTATAAGATTAAATGTCAAAAACTCAACATTCTTGGCGCCAACCTTACCATCAAGCGAGAATCCACGATGCTCCGCAGCCTCAGCGCTTTTGTTCCCGCTGAAAGGCGCATATTCATATCATGGCTGCGACTCCGAGGGCCGCCGTGCGAACGGCCGAAAGTACGTGAAGTCAATGACCACTGCCCTGATGGTCGCCCGCCCGAGCTCCCCGCACCCCCAATCGCATCTTGAGTGCTTTATATTGGGATAGGACTGACGCGCTCTATATCTTCCGAATAGTGCTGCATATGGGTCGGTGGGCCGGCATTCAGCAGGGGCTTTGGCGGTAATTCACGTGACGACAAAGGTTCAAAATCGAAGGGATGGGACGCAACAGGTGGCCCGAGTAGTTGATCTGCGTTATCTTGATCTCGACGTCGTTGAGTAGCATTGCTTGACAACGGAGGCACCCGGCCTCGGCTTATTGCTCATCGCCCGAACTGAAGATAAGAGCAAAGTTCGATGCGACATTCGCGCCCGAGCATTACGATGGGGAAACCGAAGCTCCTCGTGCCTCTCGCACCGGGCCGCCTCTTTACCCCAGCAACAACACTTTTTTCTTATCTTCGACGCTGAGGTCTGAGTTCCCTTGGCATTCAGAAAAATCAGGTTCGTCAAAGTGCGTTCAATTTTGGCCCACTGCGTTCCTCCTGGCCCTGGATTGTTACTCACGGTGCAGGAAAGATGCGTCGACCCTGAATTTTCCGGGAAATCTTCGGGCCCGGGTTTGTGTAACCGCTTGTAAATGTAACTCATCGTGCACCGGCACCAGTGAGCTCGAGTGTCGGCACTGTGGAAACCAAAGTCCAAGCTACCGTCGTCCATAAGGGTCAAGGTCTATCTTGATGATGGGAACTTACCAAGTGCTGGGGGTCCTAGCACTCCGTGACCCTATGCCTCATATCTGCTTAGTGAGGTGATATCGGGGGACATTTTCGGTACAGCAAGCGCCGTCGTCGTCGATGGTGACAGCGGCTTCTAGTACTTTCGCACTTCAGAAACAATTTTTTTTTTCGTTGTACGGCGAATATTAGGATGTTGAGAGACCGTAGGACCAATGCTCTACAGAAAAAAGCATTGCTTGTCGGCTAATGTGAGGCCATCACGTGAGTTTGACTTGCCGCGTCAAAAAGGCCGGTCCGGTTTGGGGTTCTTGACACCGTTGTTGTTGAGGGCTTGACACGGCGGGCAAGGTGTGAGCGCTTGAGCAGCCATCGCAATGGCCCATCGTCTGTGGAGGAGGAGGGGGAGAGTCGGTGAAGGCGTCTCCGCGTTCTTCCGTTGGTAAAGCAGACCTTGCCCTTGAAAAGTGATAGGGTCGTGTATTACGGAGGGTAATCAGAATTGTAAAATTCTCATCGGGTTTGAATACAGAGGGTGTGTAAATATGTAGCTAGGATATATATGAATGAGAGGCTGTAGCCGTACGCACAAAGAACACATAGACCGCGCTGGTCCAAGCGCGACGCGACAGATAACGATGGGATGAAGAGATGGCGAGGCGATGAGTAACGACGAATGACACACCAGGGAGAGGTCACGGTGTGACTGGAGATCACTCGCTGGACCCCAGCATTGGATCATGATCGCACTTTCCTAAAACAGACCTTGACCCTTATGGACGACGGTACCATATGGAGGCCGGGAATTATATGCTGATAAGCGGAGGACATATCACTGATACGCGAAAGTTTGCCGACATGGCATCAATGTCATGATGCGCTCTATGTCATGATGCGCTCTGTCTGGACCCCGAACGCTGAAGTGTATTACTAGCATTGACACGCCTACGGAGCGTATGAGCGCGCAGCTGTACGGGGAGAGACAGGGGGCTAGTCGGAGGTCGTGGGGAGGGAGCTGCGGCTCGAGCTCGCGCAGTATATTTGTGGGATTCTGATCCTAACAAGGTCAGGCTCGGGGAAATGGGCTTAACTGAAATGGGCGGGGGCAGCAGCGAGCAACAGGGGGAGTAAAGGGACAATAGAACAGGCGATGGGACGATAATGACGACGGAGGACAGGACGAGAGGACGATAGAACGACGGGGAGATCAATATGTATGTCTGTAGCACGAAATGGGGGTTTGGGGGCGATGTTGGGAAAATAATGCAGAAGCAGGCGCCGAGAAAGCGAGATAGAAAGTACTGGGAAGTCACTTTAGACTCTAGAGAGTGGGTGAAGAAGATTTCTTGTTTTTCTTGTACTGTACTACAGGTCTTTTATACTACTGTACCGTGCCAATCAAATCGTCAGGGGGTGTGATGCGTGACACAAAAGGTCAATTCGTCAATTCGTCAGGTCCCCCCATGACATGTGACATGTTGATTTTTTCGTCAGGTCATGCATTCACCTCCCTATGAGTTGCTTGCAACTTGATCTGAAGCTATCTGTGTGATAGCCCCAGACAGACTCAAAACAACACAGGGAAGGGTACACAAGTATTTTTAACACTTCAGCTGAACCCCACAAGCCTTATTTATTTCCGAACGGAAAAATGAATTCGTCACCTGAGCATGTGATGCGTGACATCAAAACAAATTTCGACTTCGTCAGGCAGCCTGTGACGCGTGACTGACGATTTGATTGGCACGGTACAGTAAGTGTGAATCAAATCCAAAGGAGATAAGTAACTTGAACCTCCTGTTGATATGGTGACCATTGAGCTCTATGTTAATTTATTTCTTTAGTCAGTGCTGAATTTTGCCGAAATGAATGAGTCCTGTGAGCACAACAAGGAGACGAACTCCGAAATAGGACCCCGCCGGAGGCATCCAGTGATGATCAGAATGATCACGTGCAACAACCTTGATGAGCTCGCTGACAAATCCATTGAGATCTTTTCGTGCACGTGATCGATTGATTTCAGGGCTAGGGCGCATCACTGCTCGTCAGCATGTATGTACTACCAATGATCATTGAAATCCTGAGAGTCCTCTTTGTCCGAGAACCATGCGTACAATGCATGAGCGTCATCCGGTAACTGGGAGTTGGGCATGGGATACACTTCGGGCTCGATATCGTTGATCATTGCGTTCAGACGTGCGTGATGTTCAGGACCTCCGAAAGGAGACGAGTCAGTGAACAGTAAGGTTCCCAAGTAATGGAACATACCGAGACCATCCCCATTGTTGACTCCACCCATATAATAAGCACCCTCTCCGACGACCCCCTCACCGCCCTGCAGTTCCTGCAAGTTTGGGAGAAGGGGAATGTTTTTATCGACCGGCTGGGTCAGCACATGCCCCCACCTTGCATCGGCACTCTGATCGATATTGTTTGTAAGGGCAACTCCTGCCAGCCCGAAGGAAGAGAGCACACAGCACACAACAACCTCACATGAGTCTGAGCACAGAGGGGGATCCTTAGAGACTATCAAATACAAGGGAGGTATACTACTCACCTGAGCACAGAGGGGGATCCTTAGAGAACGGTTCAAGGATCCATGTGCCCAGGTGTCACACTATATAGTCAGCTGTGACAAGTGACTGATGATGATGGGATATCACTGCCATGGAACAATGGCAGATGACAAGTAGATAATGACAAACCCAGATAAGATAGTGAGTGGCTCAGAGGGGCCAGTGATGGCCAGCTCCTGAGACACCAACAGTGGAAGGCCACACTGGAGGAGCCCAGCGGCCAGGCCAGTGCCCGGCCGGCCAGTGGAGACATTGGAGGCGAGGACCAATGCCCAACTGGGAAGAGGGGTGGTGCAGATGAGCGCAAGGGCATCTGGTACGAGCCTGTACGGCAGTAGACCACATCCGCGGGGAGAAGGCCGAAGTGAAGGGGGAGGAGTGCATACGGCAGTAGCACTCCCTGGTGCAAGGAATCGGGCTTGGCTAGACCGCTTGCGGGGATTCGAGGGAGATGGCCGGGGGAAGAAGGGAAAGGGCGGATGTTGGCATGGATGGAGATGAGGATCGGAGGAGGAGGAGGAGGCTGGGTGATCGACAGGTGAGCAGGCACGGGTCGGCAGAGAGGGTGCAGTGGGTCACGTGCATGGTCACGTGCCCAAGGAGCGCGGCGTCCCCTGACATTGTTGAGCTGATCCAACTCCTTGAGGCGATTCAGGAGCTGGAGATATACATCCCAACATGAGTCCCGGTCCACAATAGGGCTATTAAGCTTTGCATAGATATCCAAGATCGCGATCTCGAAGTCAGGGGGAACAAGGAGAAAGACGTCATGATCAGGTGGTGCGTACATCTGTCGGACTTTTTCAATACCGATAGGATCGACCTTGATCTGTAAGGGACTAGTAGTTAGTGGCTTGTACTTGATGAAATCGGACTCGTACCTTGAAATCGAGGATGGCGTAATCCTCTGGGAACTCAAACATGCTAGTCGGAACACTGTGAGGAAGGATCTTGTTACGATCACAGCGCTTTGCGGTATTGTTCACGCGATGCCGATACAGCTCAAGCTCGCCCTGAAGCCACGGGATGAATACCCAACGGAAGACTAAGCTTCCAGCCTTCGGAGAAGCCTCTGGGGATCGGTTCGTTCAAATCTGCTCATTCTGCGTTTCTGACGCTGTCCACTTTGCCAACCACACCCCTCGGAGCGCTTCCAAATCAAGCCGTTGCCGCGAAACGCATGTTCAAGAACAACGAGAATAGCGTCTTGATCCACTTCAACCCCATCGATGAATATGCGCACCATGTATCGGAGGCACATCTCCTATTCTGGGGCACTACCCTTCTCAGTTTCGTTTATTCTTTCGTGCGTAACTACATATCAAAGCATGTCGCGCCACCAGGCGACCTCCCTATCTTTGAAGTCCGCTTTGTCGAGGCCGGCGTTGCTCTGGTTCACAATGCGGTGGCAGATGGCAAGTCGAGCAAAATGATGACATCACTCCGACGATCATATCTCATTGAAGAATTAATTGGAACGGATTTGTTCTCTGCAACGACTCGAGTATATTGCTCACTGAATTTCAGGCAATTTTGTGAAGTACATCAATAACAATAGTGCAGTGCCCGTTCCGTCGCTTCCAGAAGATCTCAAGCTGTTGGCATCGTTCCTCTGTTTTACACAACATGTCCAATACGAACACACCGGGCGTTTGGTCTTTCTTTCTGATCTTCAAGGCCGGTTCATTCGATCTGGCTCACTGTTTCATACTAACTCTATCCAAGGCTCCGGAAATCTCTTGACGGATCCGCAGGTTATGACTTCACCGTGCGCAGTCCACTGCTGTGTCAATCTGCGTGCTCTTGATATCTGACTGGATCATCAGGACTCTCGAACGTGGTCTGTTTGGTGGTGGCAATTCAGGCAGGTTCTTCGAGAAGTTTCCTGAGCAGCATGTATGCTCCGGTTACTGCAAGTTTTTTGGACTGTCTAGTCTCATGTAAGTAGTTACGCTCTATCGCTACTCTACAGTGCATGTACTTGGCCTTTTTCATACATGTTAACGAGCGTTCGGGGTCCAGACAGAGCGCATCATGACATAGAGCGCATCATGACATTGATGCCATGTCGGCAAACTTTCGCGTATCAGTGATATGTCCTCCGCTTATCAGCATATAATTCCCGGCCTCCATAGTACCAAGCACTTTACTGGCTGCGTCCCGTAATTGGGCTGAGGAATTCCATCGATGCATCTTTGTTCCTGACGTAAAGCCAGTCTGCCGACTCCGCAATTTTGCGGAAATGAGACATCTTACGACATAGTGCGCTCCCATCAACAATTCGCTTCGAAAAAGAAGTCATTTTAGTGTAAGGGTTGCGACCGGGTCAGCTCATCTTGGAAACGTTGTATCTAGACAATGGCATGGCAACTGAAACAACCGAGTTTCATTGATGGTGTGCAGTAAGACTGCGCTGATAGAAAACACGACCAATGAGATCAAGAGACATGCCCGACACGACTCTTTCAAAACCAGGACCTAAAGGTTCCGAACTCTGGATCCGCAGCAATGGGGCTGAGTTAAACCGATGCAGGGATTGGGATCATTGTGATGGGTCCGATTGGCGACTTGGTTAGTTTGTCACAAGGAGCATTGCTCCGTCCTTCGCCAACTTGCTACCCAGCGACACTCGGAACCGGACTCAGTCAGTTTGTATTGAGCACATGGCTCGCATGAGTCGGGGCGTCGACGGGCCGTGGATCTAAGCTTTCATTCTCGCACCGAGACGCAATCCGGTATAAAATAGGGCGGACGCAGATTTCGGAATCATCATCACCCATTCCTCTTTCCTTCTCTTCCTCCCCATCGCACTCAACATGCCTTCTATCACCACTTTCCTTCAACTTGCCTCCCTCGTCGGAGCTGCGCTCGCTCTGCCGAGCAACATGACCATCATCGAGAACGGCAAGCGCGCGACCTGCACGGTCAACAGCGTTGCCAGCTCGAAGAGCCTGAGCGGATGCACCAACGTTGTCATCCAGGGCTTCACCGTTCCTGCAGGCAACACGATCACGATTGCCGTATGCTTTGCTGGGAGTTTACCCTTGATTCATCTCATCTGACGCGCTATTTCAGGCCGCAAAGGGCGCGACCGTCACAATGACCGGTGATGTCATTTTCGCAAAGACGACGAGTTCGTATTTCGAACTCCACTGTTGTACTCGGCGGAGCTGAAATCTACGCAGCTGCTGGTCCTCTCTTTACCTTGAACACCCCCGCAATCAACTTCGTCGGAGGAAACCACAAGATCGACGGCAACGGTGCCTCTTACTGGGATGGCCAAGGAACGAACGGCGGTTCGTTCAAGCCCCACCCCTTCATCAAGTACGGGCGCTTAGTCATTCGTGAGTGCGTATAATATTAACATTGCATTTCAGGGTCAAGGGCTACGGCACCTTCAAGCAGTTCACCGTCCTGAACTCGCCGGCTCAGGCCATCTCCGTCGGAACCACCGGCGGTGCATCGACCATCTCCCAAGTCACCGTCGACAATTGTGAGTGGCCTTGCTTCAGCCGTAGGGCCGATTCTCTTGCTAACATAATTTTCCAGCGCTCGGCGACTCCAAGGGTGGCCACAACACTGACGGATTCGACGTCAGCGCCGACGATGTCACGATCTCTTCCTGCACGGTCAAGAACCAGGACGACTGTCTCGCCCTCAACTCAGGAAACAACATCATCTTCGAGGACAACACCTGCGCCAACGGCCACGGCATCTCGATCGGCTCGATCGCCACGGGCAAGAGCGTGACGAACTTTCAGGCGCTCCGCAACACCGTCACCAACAGCTTGTACGGGATCCGCATCAAGGTTCAGGCTACTGCCACGAATGCTAAGGTTTCTAATGTCCTCTACTCTGGGTGCGTCGCACGTACATGGCCGTCCATGCTTTAAATTGATCCTCGCCCGATAGCAACAAGCTCTCCGGGATCACCTCATACGGTGTGCTGATTACCCAGAGCTACCCCGCCAACAACGGCACGCCTGGAACTGGTGGACCGATCTCTGGCGTCAGCTTCTCCGGCTCGCCGACCACTGTCTCTGGGACCAGCAACGCATACGGCCTGGTCGTTGACTGCGGTGCTTGCACTGGCACGTGGGACTTCTCTGGCCTCGACATCACCTCCGCCGGCAAGGGCCACTCGATCGCCATGGACAAGGCCAAGGTGCGTTTCACTACTCTCACACGCTAAATTGATCGACTGACAACTCGATTCAGATCTCCGGCGGAAACTACTAATCGCGTCGTTCGATTCCGCACCAGAGGAAAGGGACGGCCCGCATGATTCGCCTCTCTTCGAACCTTAGCAATCTGCATTCATGAGCTGTATCTTCAGAATTCCCCTACCGTACTTTCCAAACCTAATACATCTGTATCGATCGATGATGCCTTTTCTTCGTTCCCCTTCACACTAAAACTCTCATGGCCTCTCCGACTTCAGCTTTGTGATCCTCACGTCTGACAATTCCCACCCGATCACGGTTGGCTTGGTTCGGCTTGGTTCGAGTATAGACGATTCCAATCTTTCAGAAGTCACTCCAGCGCGGCCGGTCTCTCCCACAATTCATAGTGCACCAGCACTTCAGTGACCTTACTTACTCTGTTTCACTCACAATACACACACCGAAAATACTGGAGTGATTCCGTGACTGCCATCACTGTCAGAAAATTTCGACACGGGCGTCCAGATTCATGAGTAGACTTTCATCCATCTGCCGCACTGTCTCATTCGTTCATCCGCACCGAATATTCTTCAAAGCTAAGATACGTCCCCCTTGCATGTTAGACCGACACACAACTGCAAATGTTCTCCAATATCTGGGGCCACGGGGAGCCCAGGAATCACACGTATCACATGAACCGCTGCAATCAAGATCTCTTTCCCTACTTCACTACTCTTCGCGCTCTGTGAAGAAAGTTCTCAGTAGTGCAGATCTGAGGCAGAAGATGAACGCCGCAGACCTCTCTCCAAGCCAATCCGTGGATCTTTCATGTTTGATCGGCGTGGTGTCGGGCCGGAAAGCCGTTCGCGCTTCAGCGGTGGAACCTCGTAGGACGAGTGCGTGGCTGTCAAGCTCATTAATCAGTGATGAGGCCACAAGTAGTGTTCTGGCAGACCCGTTGGGTTGTCCCTTCTGGACTGCCTTGAGGTCGATGGCTCCTGTGAGCTTGGCCATGAATCGTGTTCGGATTTTCTCTTAACTGTAGATGTCTTTCAGATGTTAAGGTTGAAATGCAGAGCAGTGTCGCCAACCGAAGCTTGTGGTGTTCTTATTCCCTTCATGCCGCCCCCGCGCTCCTGGTGGAGGTGAGGCGTGGTACCCACCTAGAAGGATTGGGTCAAGATCATTGTGATAGCGCCGCGGAACGCTCGCCTTGCCCAAGTGATCGGTGCTCGCGTCTGTGGTATTGATGCAAGATCTCAGGAGCCGCCCGGTCCGCCAGAGGTGATTCATCTAGAGACAATTCGGAGATATAACCCAAAGATCCATGAGATACACTCACATTGTTTTCCCTGTTTCAAGAGATGATTATAGGAGGATACGGAGTCGTCTGTAACTTCTGCCTTGACCCGCGGAGCTTCTGGAGAGAAAACCAGTCTCATCATTTTAGTCGGAGAGTTGAATGATCTTACCTTCATGCTGATCTTCGCTTCTGACCGAGGTCGGAGAATATCCGTCAAATGCGTCAAACATTCGATTTCTCGGCCTGCTCGAAGGGATGTTGTGCTCTGTCGGTTCAGATTTAACCGGAATTGTGTGCAACTCTAATTCTATAGGTTCAGACTTGATCGTTGGTCTGTTCAGTTGGACAGCTAGGAGGACTTGAGCATTCGAATCGAATCGATCGGCCCACACAGCAGCTTACCTTCCCGACAGGGAACCGGCTCATCGTCGTCGGACTTTCTTCGCTCCGATTCAAGCGCGGCATTGCGCCTCTCCATCTCCGTGAACATGGATTGGAGGGCGTCCATCGGTTCTGAGACCGCTTCAAGCTTCACCTCAAGACGCCGTTCGGCCATCACCCCAAAGAGCTGTCCGAGCCGATGCTCAACATATTCTTCCTTGACCGGCGACTTGGGGTCGCCGTGTCTGGATGGGGACTGGGGGGCTGGATGCGGATGGAGCGAGGCTTGTGCGAGATCCTCTGCGGTTGGTCATGTGAGAACTCGTTCTTCCCTGAAGATGGTCGGATAGACAGAACAGCTCACATACCTTCTTCATAAGGATCGAGCTTTTTCACAGGTATCGATTCATTGGATGGCAATGTCGGAAAGTTAGGCGGAAGCTGGTAAGGAGTGAAAGCAAACTGGCGATTCAACGTCAGTCTCGATAGCGAACTCTCTCGAAGACGCACCTCGGAGACGGGTTCGGGCGGTGGAGAACGGTGTCCCAAAGGCCCTGCGTCGGCAATGCCACGATCGGTTTTGGACGGGGGAAGAGTGAGCTGTTGTTGCTGTATCAGATGCAGAGGAAGCGTTTTCGCAAACTGGCGCTTCTTGTGTGCGGGTAGGGCAGGGGACGGGGATGGGTACGGATCTGCCCCGCGACGTGCCTGGCTCCATTTGATGGGGAAGTCGACCGGTAGCTCGGAGAAGCTCGGAACACTTCCCGTCCACTCTGTAATCGAAGTTAGTCTGACTTGGAGCGGGTAAATGCGGCACACACGGGTTTTGTTGGGATCGTTGCACGCCTCGTAGTCGTATTCGTACCAGGTGCTTGTTTGAGACGTATTCGATGGTGCATATGCTGACGTGAGGAATTCGGAAGGAATGTGCGTCCCCAAGACGGGGTCGAGGCTGACTAACTGAGTATTGGTGATCTGGATGACGAGATAGCTGTGCTGCGATCGATGGAAAACCTTGATTTCGTTCGGGAGGGTGTCGACTCGGCACAGATCGGAGATCGCTCGGCATACCCACCCGACCACTGCATTTGTGTTCTGTTTATCTGCGGAGGAGGCGCCGTACGGCCAAGGATCGTGGATGTACAACCAATGACTGCCACGGGGTCTAGTGTAGACTTTCTGCTCAGGGGAGTCAGCCGCCTTCACATGGCATGCGCTGGGCTGACCATGGCTTTTAATTTTGGTCTCTTAAGCTGCGGCGCTGTGCCCATGGCGATCTGTTTCTTCGATCGTTGGAAAAGAGGGTGGGTGCGGAGACGTAAGCACTGTCGGGTGTGATGAAGGTTGATGCAATCACGAATCCTTTGACGAGTGGGCACGTGGTCTGCTTGACCCGAGTTCACCCGAATTTGCCCGATTTTGCAAACTCTCCGATTTGTGCAGATGAATACATATAAGCAAGGACGAATGTTGGCACAGTAGGAAAATAATTTTCCAGCAACTGACATGCATCTAAATCCAATCTTTGATGCCGGAAAAGCTTGCACTCAAGTCAGTGCCAAGTTGTACCTATCAGCATCTAACACAGCCGCATGCGAGTCGCGCATAACAAGGTTTTTCTCAAATACATCTTAATCATTTCAAAAGCCGCAGAGCTCACAGTCTAGTCTCCAACTGCAGTGGTCATGTTCAACTTGAACGTTTTCGACACGTGCACATAAAGTCGTGACAGTGACTAGGGACTCAAGTCACTGTCACTTTTGCTCTCACCCCATGAGCATCGTCATCGTTCAAGATTTCCACTCCATACCACGGAAGCACCGAGGTTGTCGATCCAGTCACACGCCCACCGTTTTACGTAAATTAGTTCCGCTCCAGTGGACGTGCATCGAGCGTCACGTGGCCCCACGCTCATCCGCCCTCAAAACCATGAGATTGTGCGGAGCTTGACACTTCTTCGCTCCTCAACAACTTCATCTGAGACACACATCCAACTCAATACTATAACATCAACAACACCGCCAATGTCCACCACCGCATACATGCCCTTCCTCGTATCGACCCCGCAGCAAGAATGGATGTCGGAGGAAATGCGCAGGGGGGAGTTCTTTCCCCCGCCGCCTACTGGGAGCGGACAGAAGAACGGCTCACGGGGCGGGAGTCGACAAAGCAGCACACCGAGTACACCGAATCCGGAGGCAGTCCCGCGCGAGCAGAGACAGGATCCGGTCACTCAAGCGTCAGTCACGCATCCCCAAGTTGGTGAGTCTTTGATTTTGCATCATAAGTACATGCATGCTTGCATTCGCTTACCGTTGTCATGTTTCTTTTCTTCTTCCAGGTGCACCACTGAATCCCCTCTCGCACTCCCCGCTTACGCAGATGAGCCTGCCATCGAATTCGACGTTGTCATCCAGCCTGTCGCAGCTATCTCCCGCCGAGGAACATGGCTCGGAGACAATGATACCGCCGTCCGGCACTAGCGATTCTCCCCGCGCCACCCGATCGGCATCTTCGATAGTCGAGTCACATACGCCCATCTCGCATGCATACCCGGCTTCCTGGGGTGCGCAGTCGAAGGCTCAAGAAGTGAAAGCGGACGTTCCGGTACAAAGCCCTCTCTCGGACGAATCCCGAGAGATCGACAAGACGCAGACAAGGTCAAACGTGCCACAGGACTCCAATGCTTCCACAACGGCGCTACACGGGTCGGTTGCGTCGGACTCGTCAGCAGTGGCACCTTCAGCAGCTGTCGCAGGCTCCCATGTTTCTGGTGAGCTCGCCACTGCTCCATTGACTTGCAGCTGCCGTACTGAGGATTTTGGTGCTGCAGATGCAGAGCTCATTGGAACAGCAGATGCGCCCGGTCTATTGGACCGCACACCTGTCATGTCGCCGTCCGACACGCCCGACTACATTTCCCGTGGTATGTGACATCTGTCCTCAATCAAGCAGTGCACTCACATTCGCTCTCAGGCGTGGCATCCTCACTGTCGATGGATATCCCGCCTCGCTCCGCGTCAGACTACTGGCGCCCAGAGACATCGCAAACACCCATCTCTGTCGTGCAGCGCGCATCGCCCAAGCTGTTGTCAACGCCCAACGAGTCGGTCGACCTGCTCCAAAGCCCGGACGCCACAGCCCAGCCTCAGGTGTTGTCGTCGCCCCAGTCCATCGACAGCGACCAGCAGATGACAAGTGCGGAGTGGGCTACAGCCGCGAATGTCGATCCTTTTCACTTCACGTCGCTCACGCCGCAAGAGCTTTCCGAGACACAGCTATCTACCATGATGTCGGCGCCGCATGAGAGCTTGAGGACTAGCAGTTCGCTTATGGCGCACTCGGAGCACGCGAGCGCGGGATTGGTGCAGTCGCCTGGCGATGCTCAGGTTGTTGCCGATCCTGCGACTCCGAGCAGGGCACCGATGGCTCCAGAGGAGACGCAGGCTCGCACCGCATCGCGTGGCCACCCGGATATGGGACTTGTGCAGGGTGCTGGAGACGCGCAGGTCGTTGATCCTCTCGACTCGAGCATCGCGTCCACAAATGAGGACAAGAACCGGCCCGATCAAGACGTGGCGCTTGTGCGGTCGCCCGGGGATCTTTCTGACCCTCTCGAGGCATCGATTGCACGGGGGAGAGACGGCTCGATGACGGACAACCACGTGCTCGAACTGAATGGGCCTGGTCACGGCAACACCAACCTACCCGAGGATCTGTCCGCTGGGGGACTGGGTGATGAGGCACCCGCGGAGGGTGCCGTGCAACCTGAGGTTGCGTCGTCGGACCGTGTTTTTGACCGTGAGGCGGCAAATGCACAAATGGAAAAGACTAGAAGAAAGTATCAGCGATTCGGGAACGTCGGTACCACTGCTGAAGAAGGTCCGTGTCACAATCCTCAGGGTCTTGCCTTGTGGCTCACAAGCTATGCAGAAACTTCGGATCGAACTCATCCCCTGAATGAAGCGCGTATGGGGCTAGTGCAATCGCCCGGTGACGCTCAAGTCACGCATCCTCTGGGGCCCCCAAACGATCCCGAGGATGAGAAGCAAGAGCATCGACGCTTTGGTTCGGGAACAGGACTAGTGCAGTCGCCAGGAGATGCCCAAGTCCCCGACCCTCTCGAGTCCACCAGTCACACTCTTCCGAAGCCACTTGTGCGGGATGTGGCGGACACCGGACTGGTACAGGATTCGCAAGGTGCTCCAGGAATGACATCCGGAGCCAGTCAGACGCGGAGCGACCAGTCGCTGGAGCTCGGCCGCGACAATCATGGCATGACGACCTTAAGTCAAGGTCTATCATCCAAAGACCCTCGTGATGAGACACAGAGGCAGGATGATGTGCAGCCAGGCGCTACGGTGTCACCTACGACTCCACCTGTTCGTCCGGCCCCGGATGTCGTCGACTCTACCAGCAGCAAGCATCAGCGTGCCTCGGAAGCCAATGTCAGTGCAGACAGGGTGGATGGCTGGGCTGAGCAAGGTGCGCTTCTCTTTTCTGGTTATGACGGCATCGCTGACTAGTCTTTAGATACATCCTCGGTGTTGCCCAACACCCCACCGATCAACTCACTACCGTCTGGCATTGCTGAGCATCTACAAGACCGCGAGGGAACGACTCCCGCTGTGTCGTCGGGAGTCCCGGACACCGCGCCGTCCGACTCTCTGCTGCCGGCTGTGGTTGGGCGCCTCCACCAACAGGGCGAGGAGACGCATGGCGAGAAGATGCCCGCCTCCGCGGACGGCCCACCCGCGCCGGCGAAACATGTGACGACGATAGGTCCAGATCATCCCGTCTCCCATGGAGATCACAGCGCCACGGCCGATCATGCTCAGGGCCCTGTAGCCGAGGCCGCTGCGACCCAGGACCAGCCTCGCCAGCCTCGCTCTCGGCCGCGGTCGCCCCCGCCCCCGCCGAAGTCGCTCAAGGATCGAATCGTCCAGAAAATCAAGGATACGGTGCACCACTAGGTGGTGCATATAGCCTATGAATTCTAGGTATTGCTTGATATGAACCTTCGTCGTGTATCCAAATGTACTTGTAAATGTATATCAACCAATGCTTGTCGATTCGATGACCCTCTACGCTCATGGCAGCTTGATCACGCCGGCGAAACATATGCTCCGTGGCCCAGCTGGTTAAGGCGTCTGACTGTTAAGTACATGTGCATTTAAATCAGAAGATCGAGAGTTCAAGTCTCTCCGGAGCAGGTTGGAGTATTCCGTCCCGTATTCATGCTTTTTGGTCCTGTTCACGTTTCGGACAGCGTCAGACCTCACCTTTCGAACCCCTTATCAACCCGCCAAGACGATTTGCTTCCCGACGAACCCAGTGTTAAAGGGCAAAGACAAACAGATCAGTTGAGCATGAGAAACTAATAACGATTGTTGACTCCCGCAACGTATGTAGACGAAGGGCCGGCAAATTCAATCAGGTGATCGCATTATGAAAGCATTCTCTGACTACAGTCCCACCTGTCTTCACCAGCTGCTCTGTGGTCTACGGCACCCTAGGCATGTCGATGGAAGTTGCCACTTCGACATGCAATTCAACGATTTCCATCTGATCTGACTCAAACCCTCACTCCTCGATGTCCTCTATTTTGCCTGTTGACTGCACTCTTCCATCTCTGTTTGGGACTAAGCACTGCTCAGTTTGGGGACATTAGTCTTCATTCCACGCGCAGATGTCCGCGTCCTGACGTAGTCTCATCGCCGGCCTCCTTAGTTCCACTAGCTCGTCCATCCACGTGGGACCATCTTCGATGCTGGGAACGCTCATGCCCTTCATGTGCGTCTTGGGCCGAGAAGTACATGGAGAATGCGATCTTTGGTACGTGACGACACTTGAGGGAAAGATTCCAGCTCATGTGCCACGTCCTTTCATTCAAGCTGACTGGGTCAGATCGATGGTGGGGCCATCCGACACCGCTTTCCATTTCCTGGCTCAACTGCAATGCACATCCTCGACCTTCCGGCCGAGCTGCTCATCGCGATCATCGTGCACCTCCCTCGCCACCCCGAGAAAGACTACACGACAGTCGACGAATCCTTGCGGAATCTCGCAGGCGGCCACCTCACGCCCCTCTCGCTCGTGTGCTCGACGTGGCGACGCGTCGTGCAAGGCACCCCCTCTCTCTGGGCCCGCATCACCCTGCATGGGCCCGTGTGGGAAATCTCGCTCCGCCGGGGCATGCACATTCTGCGCACCTCGCTCTCGCGCGCAGACACGCATCCACTCGACATCGTCGTCTCCTCACCGCCGCACCGTCCGGCGCTCGATCTGCTCGCAGCGCGCGCAGAGCAGTGGCGCACGCTACGCATCTTCTGCTATGCCCGTGATCTGCGGTATCTTGGCTCGCTGGGCCGGCGTTTCGCGGCGCTGGAGAGTGTGGATGTGCGGGTCGACGGTCTGCGCTGGGATGGGGGAGGCCCGGTCTCTGAAATGGATCTTTTCGAGCACTCGGTGAAGCTGCGTGCGATTTCCGGGTCCTCTGCGTACATCCTGCGTTTACCGTCGCTGCGGGTGGAGAGATTGCTTTTCATTCGCCTGGACGAGATAGACCGAATGAGTGTGCCCCGTATCCCTTCCGTGATGGCGAGACTTCCTGTGGGATCGACGTGTGTGCTGTCCTTCGCGAACTGCTCGATCTTCATCGACAAATCCGTCTCCAATCCACCACCGCACGCGACTTCGCTCTCGCATGTCCGTGCACTCCATCTGCTGGAGCTCGATCGCGGCAACAGCTGGCATAACATCATCAGCAACCTAACGCTGCCTGACCTGGAGCACCTCTGCCTCTCGACTCATGACGGCCTGCGGTCTACACGGCTCGCCGTCCAGTGGGCGGCGTCGGTGTTCCTGAGCCTGGCGAGCCGATCGGGTTTTGGTCCTCGACTCCGCACGCTATGTTTGCACGGCGTGTTTCTCCCGGAGAGTGATCTCATAGCGTGTCTGGAGGCCTTACCTGTCCTTGAGAGTCTCGCGCTGGCGGACCATCTAAATGGTGTCACGTCCGACCTGACCATGTCCCCGGTCTATGCGGTCACCGATCGGCTTCTCGGCGAGCTCACCATGCGAGCACAGACTCTCGTTCCTTGTTTGCGTCTTTTGCACTGTCGCACATTGCTTGGGTTCCAAACCCAATCCTTGTTGGCATTTTTGGTGTCTCGCATGATAGAAGATGGCACCTGCTTCGCATGCATTCTGGATCAACTCGGTGGCCCGCAGGATGAGGTGCCTATTGATCTGGTCGAAATTGAGATACTGTGCTCAACGGGGAAGCTCGCTTTCACGCTCAGCAATCGGAGCCCAAGCGTTGTAGCCGCATTCGAGGTGTCACACGACTAGAGACATGTACTGCGACTTATTCCAGTCGTTTCCTTTTCTGGATTACACACTTGCGTCGGCTGCACATCCGTTCCTTCTTGCCCTAGCATGTTTGAACGGTGTGAAAGCACGTGGCGCGTAGACGACGATGCAGACAGTATTAGAGAGCTCTTCGACGATGGGGTGGGACCGGGTCTATTTCGGAAACTCGAGCAATCCTTCCGTGAATGAGAGCTCTGAGCATAAATATGTCGAATCCCGCCATCGTGAAACACCTTCCATACGCTGCGCCTTTTCTCTATGCGGGTGTTCCCAACATGTAGTCACAAATAAATACAAAGTTACTTGAAGCGGCACAGGTGGCTATAAGCAGCGTCTCAATCGATGTCCAAGGAGTCGAATCGGCCGCAGAGAAGCACGAAAGGCAAGATGAATCTCATGATGGCTCAGGGATGGTGGGTAAAGCGCGACGTGGGCGCATCCAGTCGAAGGAACATGTGGCGATGGGTCGATGAATGGGTTCATCGTTGCCGGGCGGAGCTCTTAAACAATCCAAGAGAGGACCCTACAGGCTCTAAACATATCATCGTCGTCTCCTGCTGGCTATCGTCATTGACATCCTTCCCATCCGCCATTTTCCTGCAAAATTCCGCCCTCATCGGTGGGGCGCTCGTGCTTCCGGACGACATGACTGTCACCGAGACCGAGAAGCGCGGGCCTTGGCCTGACCAGCAGCCTCGAAGACCCTGAGCGGCTGCAGTGACGCAGTAGTCAGGGTCTCACTTTGACAATCGAGGTGGGCGACAATTTGGCGTTAAGCGCAAGGGACATCATCCGACGCGTGACCTCGGGCTGCGAAGTGCACGAACCAACGTCACCTTCTCTGAGGATGACCTCTTCGCAATCAAGTTTCTCTGGCTGATTCTCGGTGATGTGTTGACTTGCTTCTCGACGCTCAGGGAGATCAATGGTGGTCACCACACCCGGGTGTTCGGCATCAAACCAGATGACGTCACTAAATCGTTTTCCACGGTGAAGAATGCAGCCTCTACATGGCCATAAACTGTTCTCTTGGTCCCCCCATTTAGTTTGAGACCGGCCACAAGAGTCGCTAAGGTTTTCTAGGTCGTCCAACACGCTTCCTACTGACGTTGCACGTGATAACCCAGGCATGAACTGAGGCATGAGCTCTTTCACTGCTCTGAAATCCGCTGCTTGATCCTGCGGGCAGAAGTGCAGCTCGCCTTCGTCACTCGGGAAGATCGTGACGAAACGGAATACACATTATCTTTAATTCCTTCCTGGACGAAATGACCTTGGTCTGGGAAACCAGCACATACATGCTTTCCGATGAAATTAATTCTACAGATTGTGCGTTTCCACCACGCTGCGGCCTGACTTGCGGGAAAAATAAATCGAGTTCCTCACTTTTCTCGTCTCCAAAAGTCAGGGAACAATGGACTTTTTTGCGGTGGAGCGGAATCATTAATGAACCGCGGATTTTCCGGTTCAACCGTGAGAAGGCGAAGCTCGGCAATCAACAAGGGGTGACAAGGCAGAAAAAGTCAGCCGGAGATCATGGCCGGGGATGTCATGATCAGGTAACTTGCGGTCACCTCCGGACCTGGGAAGCTTCGCCGATCAGAGTGCTAAAAACAGGTTTCGCAGACAAAAGATCTTGAGCGGAAATTGACGGTCTATGAGAGTGTGAGGTTGGCTACTTGATTCATTTCGATGGTTTCGTTGACCCGGTGCTTGGGCGGAGACCAGTCCTGAGGCTGTCCCATCACCGGCGTCAAAGTGCCATCAGTGTCAACTCAAAGTTCCCAAACCTAGAGCACCCATCGTGATCGATCTGACGGGCCCCGGCGGGCGGGGTTTTTGTTCATCTACGACGCGCAAGTGAGCACAATCCGCAACGACCGACTCGGGATCCGTTGCTGCTCACGTCACTGGCGAGTAGGTGGCTTCATGGTCCGGGAAAAACACCCTGACTAAATAAGAGACCATCGGATGAATGGATGCTGAATTGTGGCCGTGTCCAGCGGTGATATACTGCACAGACAGAGCTCACCGAGACGTTCCCAGACTGCAGCACGCTCTTCAGATCGGCTGGGAAGAGCATGAGCAAGTTGAGTATTGAATTACAAGCTTTTGGTCGCTAGTAGAAGAGATAGAGGAACGAGCAGCAAGTGAATGCACACTTCGGCGAAGATAATATTGCGTACAGCTGTACTACAGCAGACTGATTAAGCAGAGAAGAATCTCATCTAGCATAGTTATTCAACTAGAGCCCATCATTTATGTCTGTAAACGCTCATTACCTGGTCATGAAGGCAATGCATGAGGTGCTGTGTTACGGACATATGTCTGTCTCCCAATTTGAACCGCAAAACTCAGCTGGGACTAATCGAGATGTCAGGTGTCGTCGGGAATGTGTTGCATATCCCGCGCTGCTCGGAGAACCAGCCCTGATGGCTTCTCGTTCACTTCGTACTTCCTGCAGATCTACTATATGAGACGGCCTACTCGAATTCGTCCTAGTGATGATGTCTGGAGCTTGGGTCTATGCTGAGCACCTCGGCCTGGAAGGTGTTGTCGCGCAAATCCAATTCTATCGCCAGATTGATAGTGTTCGCACTTACGACGTTCCGGCCACAAAGAAGAATCGGATGACAACGCCGAATCGTCCAGACCTACCGATATCTCAGGCGCTGAGCCTGGGTTCCCCGGCAGTAGAAGAAGTGATATGATTGACCGTTCATCACCGACGAAGGTCGAGTTGGACCAAGCGTGTCTGATATTCTCGATTCTGAACCACTTGTACGAATTGAACACGATGAGCTACATTGAGTCTTTACCTCTGTCGGACCTCTGTAGATCACGGATCGACCAGCGTTGTCCTGACTCCTCCGCTCTTTACAAAGCCAAGAGATTTTTCTGGCAGAGATTTTGTTCCTTTGGAGCTTTTGCTCGGTCTCAATACTCGGGCGGTTAAGCGGTGACCGTGCAAGCACTCTCAATCGCCTCCGCGGATCTCGCGCAATTTCTATACCACATAGATGCTACTGTATGTCAAGTCCCTTCATGAGCAACCAACTCACTGGATAAGCTCACGCTTCGATTGAGAGAAGCCATTTTGGCGTAATTTTAGGGTGAACGGAACAGCCGGCTCCACTCGTGGGACCTGGATACATCTCAGTGCCCGATCGTTGGCATAGCAACTTGTGTAATTATCTGTCGTGGCTATTGGAATTCATGGAGGGATCGGATGGAAACCTCTCTTGCTCATTATACGAAGATGAAAGAATGCAGGCTCAGGCACGCTCTGTAATATTTACTTCAACTGTGTTCAGGCTCTGCACTGAAAGTCTGAGGAGTGAGGATCCGGGCGGGATCATTATCTTTCTGATGTGCTTGGGCGGCTTTGACAGCCGGCGTCTTGCTTCCCACGTTTGAGTAATTGTCCCTTAGCAAACTCGGGAGCGGGGTCTTTCGCTGTCGAGCACATGGGTGCACAAGTCGAGGCGTTGACGGACGGCTCATCCTTGACTCGCAGCACAACAACACAATTCAAATATAAGGTGAGGGGTCCGCACGCTGAGCAAGCATCATCCTGTTTTTGTTCTCCTACCTACTCATACTTCGGCTCAAAATGCCTTCCATCACCACTTTCCTTCAACTTTCCGCCCTTGTCGGCGCTGTCCTCGCACTCCCGAGCAACATGACTATCATCGAGAATGGCAAGCGCGGGTCTTGCACAGTCAACAGCGTAGCCAGCTCGAAGAACTTGAGCGGCTGCTCCAACGTCGTTATCCAGGGCTTCACTGTGCCTGCCGGTAACACGATCACGATCGCCGTACGAGCCGTTTCGATCTCTTTTTCTAATCGACTCATCTGATGAGCGATTGCAGGCTGCGAAGGGCGCGACGGTCACCTTGGCTGGTGACGTCGTTTTCGCCAAGACTTCGAGTGCGTGGCCCTCCGTGCTATTCAGATCATGGAGGCACTAACTTGCTCACAGCCCAAGGCCCGCTTTTCACCTTCAACACTCCCGCAATCAACTTCAACGGAGGGAATCACAAGATTAACGGTAACGGTGCCTCGTACTGGGATGGCAAAGGCACCAACGGTGGATCGTTCAAGCCTCACCCCTTCATCAAGTGAGTGCGCTTGTGTGTGGACAGGGGACGTGGATATTGATGTCGTGCCTTAGGGTCAAGGGCTACGGCAACTTCAAGCAGTTCACCGTTCTAAACTCGCCGGCTCAAGCGATCTCTGTTGGCACCACCGGAGCCACGACCATCTCCCAAGTCACCGTCGACAACTGTGAGTGACCGCGCTCCATCGCGTGTCTGAATCCTTCGGTTGATTGGTCATTCAGCGCTCGGTGACTCCAAGGGCGGCCACAACACTGATGGATTCGACGTCAGCGCCGACGACGTCACGATTTCGTCGTGCACAGTCAAGAACCAGGACGACTGTCTTGCGCTCAACTCAGGCAACAACATCGTCTTTGAGGACAACACCTGCGCGAACGGCCACGGCATCTCCATCGGCTCGATCGCTACGGGCAAGAGCGTGACGAACTTCAAGGCGCTCCGCAACACTGTCACCAACAGCTTGTACGGTATCCGCATCAAGGTCCAGGCTTCTGCGAAAAACGCCAAGGTCTCCAATGTGCTCTACGACGGGTGAGTCTAGCGCTTTATGCCCGCGCCACATCTGTCGGTCACTCATCGCCTCGCAGAAACAAGCTCTCCGGAATCAGCTCGTACGGTGTCCTGATCACTCAGAGCTACCCCGCCAACGACGGCAAGCCTGGATCTGGCGGCCCCATCTCCGACGTCAGCTTCTCTGGCGCCCCGACTACCGTCTCCGGTACCAAAAACGCGTATGGCCTGGTCGTTGACTGCGGCGCTTGCACCGGTACCTGGGACTTCTCCGGTCTCCAAATCACCTCTGCGGGTAAGGGCCACGCCCTTGCGCTCAACAAGGCCAAGGTAAGTTCCCTGCGGTTTTCCCGATCAGGAAAGGCTTAGTTGACGCAAACTGCAGCTCTCTGGCGGCCACTTCTAATCATTCTGCGCCGTATAATTATCTCTCCCCCGATTCTCCGGAGTCTAGCACTATCATTCAATAATTGTATCCCCATAATCTGCTTGGTGTTGACTGGAGGATACAATATATTCGTTTTTGTCCTCACTTTTCCAAAGTAACTCGAAAGATATTTTGACATCTCTCTCGATCTCAGGCGGTATTTTTCAGAAACATACCAGTCCGATCTCTCAGTGATCACAAATTCTCTGTTTCGATTCCAGGAATCAATGGGACTAATATCTATATCCTCCGCAAAAGCACGGGACGTTGGACGGAACCCCGCAAACGCAACGTCTGTGAGATGGACGTCAGGATCTCGATGTCGGACTGAATAAAGAGCTCAGAGGACTCACTGGTATTGTGAAAATGAGCCAGTTTGAGCGGTAGCTGGGAACTGGGCATTGCTTGGCGCAGCATGACTCGCCACTCCGTATCCATACGTCGTTGCGCTCCCAGTGTTGTAAGACATCGGCGGGTGGCTGCTCCACCCTTGGGATTGAGCCGGGGCGTGGGCGGAGGACATATTGCCCGTCGGATAATGCCCCAAGTTCATTTGGGTCCCGACAGTGGTGTCATATGCAGGAGTTTGATTGACATGGCTTGACTGGCTGTGATAGCTCTGCGCGTAGCCCGACGGATATTGGGCAGCAGTCGATGACGATTCGGATGCGGTGGGAGAGTGTGCTTGAGATCGAGCCTGCGAGTTAGGCCGAGAGGGGTGCTTCTTGACAGGCAGGTAAACACATTCGAGACCGAGACGAGCACATCCCGTACATATCTTCTCCTTCGACTCCGAGAGGCACTACAGAAGCGAAGGCATCAGCAAAATCAGTGAAAAAAGTATGTATCAGGAAGGTATTGTACATACCTTGGTCTTGCGATCGCGGCAATTGGTGCAAGCAATGATAACGCGCTTGGAGATTTGGAATTCGTCCATCTGAAAGTGAGAGAGGTTCGTGCACCATCAATGATGCTGCGCTGCGCTCTTTATACACTGAAAGCTAAGTCCCTATCCCGGAGGACAACTTGGAGCGACGAGGTTTGAGTCTAGGTTGTCGAGGGGACATCTCACTTGAGGGCGGGGTAAGCAAGGCGGCTAACGGCGCACTGCATATAAGTCACGAGCAGGAGGGTTGTGCCAATATACCGAGTAGCCGACTGCCAGCGTCTAGTATCTGCGTCACTTGCTATGTTTAATGAGTGAGAATCAAGTCGTTAAAACTAAGAGTTCGAGTCATATCCGAACACCATGAGTCACTGCCGGGGAGAGAAACAGCCAGCCGGTTGAATTATGCCTGGCTACAAAGTGGCGAGCAACTTGAGTCTGTGCACGCTGGCTGTGCGACGAGTGAAGATCTTCCCAGAGATGACTGCACATTGTACTCCCTGTACTAATAGAGACCTGGTTTGAGTAACAGGTCTCCAAGTCAGACTGCGAGGAAGCCGCCCGTCGATCACACATTCTCAATGGGATGGGCTGAAGCACTATTTCTGTTCAATGAGATTGACGCCGGAGAACGTCAAGATCGCCGTGCGAGAGACTCTAGCTAGAGAGCGCAGATAGCTAGCTGTGTTCAGGCAGGGAGGAGGACAACGAAGAGTGAGGTTACAGCCGATCAAGTCTGACCGACCGCTGATCTCCGTGATGAAGATCAGCGTCATCTGATCTCATTCCTCTCACCGAAATTGGATGTAGCGAGAACAGAGAAAGATCTACGGAAAGCCACATTTGGGGCACGAAGGGACTAGGATGCAGCTCTAAGAATCTGGCATGCTTCATCCCTGATAGCTGCAATATCCGCACCAGTCATGGTTGACCATGTTAAGCTCCAGTGACATGCGAAAATGTTTTAATGAGTGCGAGATGCAGATGACTGTGGATCAGTGGACGTAGTGCCGGTCATTCCCGTGAAAATGACACGCTGTGCGTCACAGAGAAACGCGCGTCTGTTCCAGAGAAACATCTTGTCTTTCACGCTCGGGGCGTGTCTTTCGGTCATACACACATCACGAATCGAGTTCTCGTCGGACGCGACTACACCTCTCCGAGTCTCCGACTTCAAGCGGAGCGTCAGCATCCAGATGATAGATGTTACATTGAAATACAGCAGATAGCGAACAGATACAATACAGTTGAATTCAAGAAACATCAATGATGCTTGCGTCTCCCGCCCGTGGACATGGACTGCAAAAGCATATCAGAGTTGCCACAAGATGCGGAGATGACATAGACGTACATGGCCGAGGGATCTGGAATGACTCGACACAAGATTGGGTGGATGATGCGCGTGGTTCCCATGCGGTTGTCCAGCAGTGTGATATACCGTATTAGAAGACGATGCAGTCACTCGGAGCTGCTCTGCACCACGATCACGATGTCGATCCCGATGCTCGCGCGGCTTGGACAGGGAGCGCCCATGAGAGTGCGCACGACCATGTGCGCGGACGGAGTGCGCAGGCGACCGAGCACGCAGTCGACTGTGAGAGCGCGCACGAGAGCGCGAGCGCCCGCGATGCTCCTCGTCCGTGCGCGCATGCGTCTGAGGCTGGTGTTCGTGCCGGCCGTGACTGTGAGAATGTAGCACAACGGGCGGTGCTTGCGATACCATCAGCTGGTGATGCTCGCGCGGGCGATGTGGCTGCTGCTGCTGGGGATTCTGCTGATAGCGGTGGTGGCTATCATTCACATGGGATCGTGCCGGTGCTGGCACAGCAAAGGAATCATTGCTTGCCGGCTGGCGGCCGCGGGTGGGATCTAATCTCGCTCCGTGATGCTCCCTGTGTGCTCCAGACCAGCGCGGATCTCGTCCCTCATGGGTGTCTCTTCTCCCATGCTTATCTTGCATCCAATCTTCGACACGCCGTTGCCGCATCGGCGTGTTCCAGGGCGGAAGGGACTGGGAGGATGCGATACTGGTACCCGCCAGCGTCCCCCGCAGGGCCTCCATCTCGGACTCATCGTCTGCGCGGAAGTGCAGACTGGGTCTTCTACTGGAGACCGACTCATTCGACGTCGGCATTGCAGATGCGCGGTGATGTGAGGGCCTGTCACCCTGGGTCGCGAACCGCACTGGTGCGTGCGTCCCGTGCGAATGCACTTCGGGGCCGGCGGTCGAGTGAGCGTAGTGTGGAAGCAGGTGCGATGGTGCTATTGCCGTTGGACGGGTGGAGTAGGGGGGCGACGGAGACGACCAGTGCGGATGGGGAAGTTCAGAACGTTGGCGGTGGGACCGACGTGGAGCCGCAGCCATATCTGAGAGCGTGGTAGGCAGGAGGTATGAGTGTGCATGGGTGGGACCTACTCATACATATATCTACACATCCAGCGCGGCACCATCTGCACACCTGACCCCACTCTTGTGACCAAATCACGTCTTAGCAACACCGGTCTTGGGCGCGCTCCATCCCTTCCGCACTGTAACCGCTCGTTCGGGAATCCTATTCGTGGCGTCCCGAGTCTGGAAAATGAGGGGAGGAGCATGAGGTAGACCTTGTTCCGACCATTTGAGGGTGCTCAGTCAATCATAGTCTACAGCGGCCCTCTGAAAGGTCTGCGTGTGGTGAGCGTCTAGGTGATAAGCGTATGGTGTTGACACCGGCGGAGTTTTTTCGCCGGCTGGTTTCTGTCAGCAAAGAATGTCCGCAGGATGACCCAACACCTCTTGCGTTTCATTGCTACAAACACTGGCTGATTGCAGGTGGGAGGGTGCGCAAGAAAAGACATGGGAACTACCGATTTCGATTGGATCCGATCAAGTGATCAAGTGTCAGCCTGTCAATACTTTGTTTCCTTGCTCGATCGACGATTCTCCAGAATACGGGAAACGCAAGGACTGCACAGAGGCGTGCAACAAGCGTTCTAAAACCACCTGTGCTATCTCCGCGTCTAGGCCACTATTTAAATCAGCGGCACAATCTCGACCTCACCGATCTGTTCTCGGAGGCTCCTTCTCCGCAAGCTGGCCTGGATCTCGAAGATCAACCTCATCACCGCTTACGACGGTATCTCCTGAATCCTGACCCACCTTGTTTGTTCTCAAATTGAGTGGGACAGGATGCGGCAATCGGGTCAGGACCTTTGATCCGAGTCTCTTGCACTGCGCAAAAGTGTGCGGATCAAAATGCGCGGATCGAAATCCAGGACGATGCAGATGTGACAGATGTGACCTCCATCATATCCTCCCACACGAACTTTGGACCTAGCACGCATGCTACTCAGCAGGATTGATGAGCGACGTCGACCTCGCCCGAAGGCCAACGTCGAGTCGTGTGTCTCGCAGTGCACGTTATGCATAAGTCGTACCACCAAGCGGCGGATACAGGCAGTTTGTAACACCGGTGGAGCATATGGCAGGAGCAGAAATAAACTGGGCTCGCATGTTCTGTTCCTCTGCTGCTCGTTGCGCGGCACTATCGCTGACTCAGAGGTTGCTGTCTCGAGAAACGCTGCGCGTGGATTATCAGATCCTTTGCCTCTCTGGTGCTTCGAATTACGACGGTGGTGATACAGAGCACTCGGGTGGCATGTGCTGGTCGACGGGAACTCCGGCTCGCTTGAGGCTCTCGCCCGCTGCTCACCGTGTTATCTGACCTCATGGCAGATGCTTCCGTCCTGAAAAGAACACCGCGCCGTTCATTCAGCCCAGCTTTCCACCGGCATGATTGGCTTCACTTGAGTTGTCGCGGGGGAGACGGCTAGTACATCACCATGTGGGCGCAGGAAGAAAGTGAAGATTGTGCAATCTACCTGTCACGAACCATCAAGTGCGTCGGCCATCGTGATCACGACAAGACACCTTAGAAGCAGCTCCGCACAAGCTATGCGTAAGTCGTTGCTGTACGCGCGGCACATGTTTTGTCTAGATCCCATGTGCAGCCCCGCGCTGGTATCAAAAGCCTGTGTCAGGCGAACGGAGCACCGGTGTGCGAGAGCAAGCTATAAAAGCCGGACGACCTGCAGACGACTGTTCAGCAGCACTTGCATCGCACTGTCCACTTCTTCGACTTCGAGACCGTCCGCCTCCCGATGTTCAACAAAAGCGCCCTCCTCCTCGCCGTCTCGCTGGCCCTCTCGGTCTGCGCCGTCCCATCCCCGGCGCCCGAGGGAATCGCCATCCCCATCCGAGCCCGCGACGCGCTGACGACCGCCGATGGTGTGTTCGACCACGACAAGGCCATCGCGGAGACTGTCAAGACGATCAACAAGCACCGCCAGAACCTGATCAACTTGAAGAACAACAAGGGTGAAGGGTCATTCAACCCGGTAGGCTGCTCTTCGGTTTGTCAGCAACTGCATGTGTCTTAACTCGTCCGCAGGGTGCTGAGATCAAGAGCATCGCGACTGTCCCTGCTGCCGTGCAGGCTCGGATGGAGAGCCGCAACGAGAAGCGCCAGAGCTTGACACTCACGGATCAGTCGGAGCAAGAGTGGACTGGCAGTGTATCAATCGGCACGCCCGCGACCCGTTTCGTCATCGACTTTGACAGTAAGTATCAGTGCATCATCGGAAACACATGCTAACTAGATGTAGCTGGATCTTCCGACCTCTGGGTGCCCTCGTCCGCTTGTCGCTCCAGCTGCTCTGGCAAAACCAAGTACAGCCCGAGTGGCTCGTCGACGTCTGCTTCCAAGTCTGGTTCGTTCTCCATCCAGTACGGCGACGGATCGACTGTCTCCGGGCCCATCTACACCGACACTGGTAAGCCCATGTTCTCATCCCCCGATACAATGTTCATAACTTCGTGACTCAGTCTCCGTTGCGGGTGTGTCGGTCACCAAGCAATACCTGGCCGGTGTGACAACCCTCTCCTCGGAGTTCACCACCGATCCCGCCGACGGCCTGCTCGGTCTTGCGTTCCCGGCTATCTCCAACCTCGGCCACAACCCGTATTTCCAGACAGCCATCAGCGAAGGTGCTGTCTCTGCCAACCGGTTCGGCTTCTACCTGGCCAGCTCGGGCTCATCGCTCTACATCGGTGGAACCGACACCCGCAAGTACACCGGCGCCATTGAGTACAACGACATCACCTCGTCGTCCGGATTCTGGCAGGTCACCGGCGCGTCCGTCAAGGTGGGCAGCAGCACTGTTGTGTCGAATTTGCAGACCATTGTGGACTCGGGAACCACCATCATGTACGGCCCGCCCGCGCTCGTCAAGCAGATCTTCGCCCAAGTCCCGGGAGCGAAGTTGTACGATTCCACCAACGGTCCGTCTTTTGCCTTCCCAATTCCCAGACTCTTTCGACGATTCTGATCCCTCTGACTTAGGATACTACTCGTACCCGTGCTCCACTCCCCCCAAGATTTCGATCAACTACGGGGGCAAAGACTGGACGATCTCCTCTGCGAACTTGAACCTCGGCCGCACGTCGTCCGGCTCAAGCTCGTGTGTGTCTTCGCTGGCTGCTCAGGATCTCGGATTGGGATCGCGTGTGTTCCTTCTCGGTGACTCGTTCATGAAGAACCAGTACACCGTGTTTGACGTCGATCGCAATGCAGTTGGATTCGCCTCTCTTTAGACTATCCAACCAACTAGCTAGAAAATATATTCCGCGGACCGGACTTTCATTCCTGGAAACCATGGCCTTAAATTGATTCCCGCTGGTAATTGATAATACGCAACTCGGTGTCATCGTTACCTCCGTCCGTCGCATTGATGACTTATTGTGAGGTGGGAACTTAGGGCTTGTGAGCCGTCCAGCGGGCCATTGATGAATCTGACTCGCTTGGGTGATGTAACCTCTGCACTTCTGCCCCGTATGACGCGATGAGTCGTCCTGTCTCCTGCGATGCCTGATTCTTCGCCGTCGGTTCAACCCACAGTTCACGGACGCCGACTTCCGTTACATCTGACCTATCCAAGAATTGCCAGAAATAGAGATTGTGACCAGCTTGCGGCCAGCAGGTCAGTACCTCGCTGAGAATCGATGAGCCCCATCCGGCCGAAATTTTACCGCACGAAAACAAGGAACTCGGATTTCTTGGCGCAAACGGCTCATTGAGTATCGAGAGAACTTCAAAGGGGTGGAATCGCCCCGTCCGCTAGCAACGCTAGGCAACGCTAGGCCCACGGACACATAGGGTGAACATCCTCCGAAATAGAGTAAATCTGGCCGAAATTTTTGACTTTAACCCTCCGGGAAATAGCGTAAAAGTGCCTCAAAAATGGCAGCAAGCCTCCGGAGATAGCGTAAAACTTGGCTAGATCCCTGCCGATCTTGAAAGATTTGAGCCCTGCACCAGCGTAAAATCGGGTAGAACCCGGCCTGATCTGGGCATTTCTGACTTGAATTTAGACATCTGGGCTCATGTAGTCTTTTCAGTCGTCAGCAAGACTAATTTTAGCTGGAAATGTACTGAATTTGGAAGTCTACGGAGAATCTAACAACCGATATGATCAGAATGATCGCTTGCCTGATCGTTTTTTCTTGCCCATCGTTCCCGGCTCCCAAGCGCTGCGCCATCCTGCCGGTTCCCGAAGTACATGGGCATGACAGAAGTGTCGGCAGCTGTCCTCGAAGTCACGGACAGTGACGAGAGTACAGACCTAGAGTTGGATCTCTCGGAATGGATTGGCGTCGGAAAAGTCTACAAGGACGTCCCATCGGCTCGTAAACGCGTAGCGGGAACAGATACTGTGCGTCCTAGAGGTGGTATAGGTCAGGTGAAAGCTCCTACAGCTTAAATACAGTCCCTAGAAGCTTAGGGAGAAAATTCGAATTAACCCTCCAAAAATAGAGTAAAAGTTGCTCAAAATGTCGAAAAATTTAACGTAAAAGTAGGTAGACTGGCGGAGGATGTTCACCCTATGTGTCCGTGGGCCTGCAACGCTCCCTCGTCAAAATGCGTGGGCTCGCTCGCTTAGTCTTCGTTGCCTGGGTGATTGGCAATGAAATCGGTTAAGAAGCCGATACCGGCATCGACCACGTGGGTTAGCCCAGTAGATGAAGAAGCGCTTTAGGCTTACAATCTTGATTCTCACGCCTACCTGATTACCCCCTTTTGGCCCGGGCCCCTACACCCGGGACTTTTCGTCTCGTGAGGGTCACCAGCCTTGAGCTTGATCCGCGAAAGTACCGGTTGTACGATGCTGGCTTTAAAAGAACTGTTGTGTGCCTATGCAACAAGACACGTACCCGCCCTCTTTCATACATTCTCGATCCCTTTTCACACACGATGCTGAGCTTTGCTACTTTCGTCATCCTTGCACTTAGCGTGGCGGCGCACCCCTCCGGAACCCAGCCCGCTACGGACGTCACCCCAGCCTCTCCCAGGATCGGCCAGCGCTGTGTTGGGGAGATCACCAGTCTCGCGGACGTCGCCGCAGCGGAGAAGTGCCTGACTATCAACGTGAGTTCGGGACCCTCTCTCATCGTCTCTTGTTTACCGGCTGACGCTTCCGCTGACCAGATTCGCACCTTCGTGGTGCCCGCTGGGCAGTCGTTGGACTTGAACCCCGTGGATGGCGCGACTGTGACAATGCAGGGTCCAGTCTCCTTTGCTCATTCGGTGCGTCAAGCGATGGCTCTCTACCTCCCTATCGACGTTTCCTCTAAAATGCAATTCAGAACTGGGCTGGTCCTCTCATGGTGTGTTTCGTTCTTGAGAATCGTTGCGGGCAGTGTTGAGTTCACCCTGCCGTCCAGACTATCAGTGGAAATAACATTGTCTGTGCGTGAGATCGTTCACCTGTGATCCTCCGGTGCTGACTTTTTTGCAGTCAACGGACAAGGCTACGAGTTGAACGGCAACGGAGACCAGTATTGGGTATGTCACTACGGCTGTGCTTCGGACTGAGATCTTACTGATTCCGAACAGGACGGGGTACGTCACTGAGACTGACGCGTGTTCTCGAATTAATGCTCCATGAAATAGCTCGGTGGAAACGGAGGCGTGGTGAAGCCCGCCCCGATGCTTCGAGTGCGTATGAGCGGAACCTTTGAAAACGTCAAGGTCTTAAACACACCTATGCGTGCAATCTCCGTCAGTAAGTCGGGATGTCAATCTTCAGCCGGTACCCGTGTCTGATTACAATCCAGACGCGAACAATGTGCTCGTGCGCTCGATCAACATCGACAACTGTAATTGCTTTCTCTCGATTCTTGATCGTCGCTGACTCGTACCCTACAGCGGCTGGAGACGTCGCGAACAGCCAATCCAACGGCAAGCCTGCAGGCCACAACACGGACGGTTTTGACGTGTCCGGAAACAATGTGCGAATCGAGAACTCACAGGTTCACAACCAAGGTGTGCTTCAATGATCCCGTCCTTGCTTTGTCCGTGAAATTCACATGCAAATTAGATGACTGCCTGGCGCTGAACCGCGGAACAAACGTTACCTTCACTGGCAACACCTGCACAGGACAGGGCCACGGGATCTCCATCGTACGTGACATCTTCCGCGACATCTCCTCCAAGCAAACTTGACACTCTACAGGGCTCCATCGGCAACAACACCGTTGTCTCTGACGTCATTCTGAGTGGAAATACCATCACCAACAAGTGAGCCGTGTTCGATAAATCGCGAGATGACGAGGGTGCTCAATTCTTCACAGCGGCAACGCCATCCGGATCAAGACCAAGGCGGACGCAAGTGGGTCGAGCGTGTCGAACATCGTCGTTTCGAACAACAAAGCAACCGGAATCACTGGATTCGGCGTCCTGATCGACCAGAGCTACCCCGCCACGCTCGGCACCGCCGGCACGGGGGTCAAGATCAGCGTCAGCCTATACCTGCTTGATCCGAGGCGTGGCTGATTCCTCTCAAAGGGAGTTTCCTTCTCAGGTACCAACACGTTTGCGGTAACGTCCAAGGCCAAGCGCGTCGCTGTCAACTGCGGAAGCACAAGCAGCTGTTCCGGGTACGTCTCGCGCTCTTCGCTGATTGCCTCAGGCCATTGAAATTTCTCCTGCGTAGCACCTGGGACTTCAGTGGACTGACTGTGACCGGGGGCCAAGCCGGATCCATCAAAAACGCGCCTGTCAAAGGCGGCTCTTTTTAAGGGCACCGTGAGCTCGGGTGCATCTCACAATCTTTCCGTATCAATACAAAAAACTCGAATAATTTTGTAAATCATGATGTATGAACTGTTTCACGGAAACAACGATAATGGTATCGGATTCCGGCAAGATTGGAATCCTGGTGCCTTTGGGAATGCCTTGAGAGCAGCTGAAGTACGATTTCTCCGGGATGGCTTGTGCTTGGCCGCGGCCTGGAGGCAACTAGATCGCGCTCGTCAAGGTTCCGTGAAGCGTGCAAGTGTTCAACAGACTCTATGCTGAGCTGTGTCGCACTTCCAGGGACTCACGTGTCAAATCACCTGATGCGACCCGCGGCGTCGGGTCGCGCAGTTAGCCCGACCCGACCCCGACCCACTCTCTGACCCGACCTGGGACGACACTTGGGTGGACTGAAACAGGCAGTCTCTGTCGCTGCGCGGAAAATGCAATATCGAAGAAAGCACTGAAGGAAATCCAGGAGGACAATGAAATAGACGACATGCAATGCGTTGACCGAGATCCCGACCCAACCCTCCTGCCCAAACTGCCGCCCAGAGCGTGGGCGGGTGGCCAATATCTCCGATCATGCTTGAAGCTCGAGACAACAACAGCAGAACTGATCGGACGGACTAGCATTCACCGTCCAAGCTAGGGATTTCTATCGGGAATTCATGTCGTGACATCAGAAAAAGCGATTTTTTCATAATGCTTTGTTACAGCAGATTCTAGATCTTCTCATATACTCTATTGTTTCTTCGAGATTCACGGGGAGATAATACCCTGGCCTGGAGGCTCTAATTCGGATGGCATCTGTAAATTCGTCCGTCTCAGCTCAATGATCGGTGCACCGCTTAGCTTTGAACATCTGTATGATGATGGTTCTCCTGTTGATGTGACTCAACCTCCAGACGCACTCCGAAGAGGACCGTTGAACCGTTGCACCCAACGTGCGCCTGATAATGACTTCAAGAGATGATGCAAACTAGATTGGCCAATACATAGCCTGATCGGGATCTGATTTCTAAAGAGGCCGCCGTATTCAGGCGGGTTCTATCCGTGAGGGAGGGAAGGCGTGATGCGATCACGTGTTCGAGACCGTCTTGTGACTTACGCGCCTACAAACGCTCCGCTGATCCAAGTGTTCTCTACCGCTGGAAATGAATGATGTCCTCGAAAGTCTCAATACTCACAGTGATTGTGCGCGTTGGGATGACGCGATCTTCCACCTTCTCCACTTTTCCGCGAAGGTCTAGACTCCGGTCACAGATCAAGGCACGTAAATGAGTAAGAAAAGGCCCGGAGCCGTCTGGCTTCTTCCTTTTTGCTGTTAGTCATTTACTCTGTGACTGACCTCCCCAGTTTACTAATTCAAACTACATGTTTATGCAGGCACTGTCAACGGCTCAAGTCATTTGTGCGATCCATGGAGCCTCATTCCTCCTTGGCGCCCTTCTCATATCATGTTCCCACGCGTAAATGTAGAATACCAGAGCTTAAAGTCTCACCGAAGTGTACGCAAGAGCCAGGGTAGATAGATCAAATCACCTGATGGGCAAGCACATCACGACATGCAACTTATCATACTCAGGTTGGTGTCGTCATCATGCTTATCAGCTCGTCGTTCCTCCCTCCTTTCATCCGATGCAAGGTCGGAATGCGCACTCATACGGATGCACGCTGGCCGCATGCCGGCAGGAGGCTCTTGCTAGAGCGATATTTAAGACGGCGACGGAGTTCCATGGATTCAGCACCACTACTTCTTTGAAACCCCGATGTCGAACACAGTCCAATCTTACGTTGTGACTGGCGCAAACCAAGGTCTGTCTACCGTGCTCGTCGTGTTTCTTGTTCCTCAGCTAGGGACGCTCCTCGCTTTGCAGGTCTAGGATACCACACTGTGCACCAGATCGCACAGAAACCACACGCCCTGGTGTTTTTAGGCGCACGGCGGATCGCCGCAGCGGAGGAAGCCATCTCCAGCTTTGCGTCCGATATTCACTCCACGTCGGCTGTGGTGCCCGTATACATTGACCTCACAAACGAGAAATCAGTGACGGATGCGGCCGTCTTTGTCGCAGCAGCGCTGAAGGAGCGGGGTCTGTCAGGGTTGGATGTCCTCGTCAACAAGTATGTACACCTGCAGTGGGAGTCTCGCAAGGGCTGATGACAAGGACAGTGCAGGCATTTCCACAGGAACAGACATGGCTATCTTCGCGACCAACGTGGTCGGCACCCTCGTCGTGAAGAATGCCTTCCGGCCATTGCTCAAATCCGGCAGCCGGATCGTGAACGTATCTTCCACGCTTGGCTCTCAAGCACTTCATGCGGCCCGGCCCCCTATCGCTGTGTATAACTACAAGACCTACGCAGCCAGCAAGGCTGCACTGAACAACTTCATACTCCAGTGGGCGTTCGAGGAGGAGGAAGCGAAGTCGGGAATCGTCGTCATGGCGCTCTGTCCAGGTGAGGATTTTTGTGGCGGTACGGCCAAGGAAATGACTCAGAGATCGTTTCGGATAGGTCTCACCTCGACTGCTGCGACTGGATTCAACGATCACGGTGCTCCGCCGGCAGTGAGCTGCAAGGTCATCGTCGACTCGGCTATAGGATCCCCGAAGAATGGAAGCTTCCTGGATGTAAACGGGGACATCGCACCCTGGTAGTGCGACCAGACATACAAAAATTGAGTATCACGTGATGTTCGAATTCCATAGATTGTCGCAATGGGAAAGTCAGGTAATAGTGGAGTGGTGCCGCTCAAGGGTAATGAGAGTGGATTTTTGAAGGAAAAATTGGGGAACAGAGAAATAGAGAGAGAGCTGCAATGCTCCGTGCCTGCTGCTTGAAAGATCTCAAGTCCAATTTGATTTTGTTCGCTCTGAGCTGAGTCAGCAGTCACAGGCGTTTTCATGCCGACCGTGCATTACAGCTGAGTGTTTACAGAAAGGATAGACGATGTATGAAGCATCAATGAACTGATGAGCGATCTTTATTGAACCACGGAGTCTGTAGAGGAATCCACTGAAGTCGACGCGAAAATTTTTGATGCCCTCGATTCGCCTGGGCATTTAGACTGTAACCTCATCATTTTCCTCGCGTTGGTTGAGGTATGGGCCCTTGAGTGTCCAGCCGTTAGATTGCGAAACGGCCCAGCTGAGTTGAATGGCTCATGCAGCTCGCCAAGACAGAAGACTCGCTGGACAAGTCCACAGACTGGATCTCGATCGCCGACGCGACCCGGATAAAGCATCGCTCTGACAGGAGGGGATCGATCGCTAGGAGACGAGGAGGAGCTGCAACTGGCAGCTTCACCGTTGCGGAAAATCGGATTCAATTGAAGCAAGAGAGCGAGCTGGGGAAGTGCGAGCACGAGACAGGGATAGGGCGTGGTGTATGACGGTGCTTCACCAAAATTTCGTGTGCGTGGATCGTCCAGATTGCTCTCACCAGAGTCAATGTGAATGGCGGGCGTCTTGAAAAGATGCAACGCCAAAGAAGCGCCAACACGTGATGGCGGGTAGGATGATGTATGTTCCATGCTTAAAATTGACGACAGAGGAGTGAACATGGTCACGATTGAAGAATGGGAGACCCCAAAGAATGAGTGACGATGAAATGGACAGAAAAAATATATCCACACGACACAGTGGATGAGTCTCGTCAAAAGACCTGAAAAATCGGCTGAAGCGGGAAGTGAGAAGCAGGAGAGGAAATATCTTCGCTCAAGTAGAGGTAGACCAAAGCGTGATGTAACACAGGAACGAGTCTCTTGGCGATGGAGATTTGCGTCGACATGAATAACGATGACTCAAAACAGAGCGCCGGAACCGTCGCGTAAGGCAACAGTGAGAAGACTGGCAGCGTGTCCGGCAGGGACGCGACCTTCGAGGTACGTTGGGGTGGACATAGATGGCCAATTGTATGCTTAGGCGACCACCGAGATGTTCGCTCGGATATTGTCCAATGTTCGTGGTAAGTCGGCGCCGTCGCATTAGGTGCCTCTGCAAACAAAGGGAGATCTGCCCAAGGAGTTCCATCGTCTCAAACGTTCGGCCCGTGCACCGAATACCCCAATTGCGGTCTGATCGTCATTTTACCAAATCTTCTACATCCGCTTGTCTGGGCATTCATCTCCATTGTGGTGCCTTCCTTCGGGTCTGAGAACTGAAGGCAACTCGAGCGCAAGATTTGACTTCAAGGCGACGGTATCCGATGGAGCCGTCGCAGCCCATGGCGTTCCCGACAGAGACGCTGCATGTTCTGACAGGAGTGGCATCACTCTGGATCCAGATGAAGAAGGGCACATGTATTGCATATGGGAAAACGAGGAAACTAAAGCGAATTATATTGGTATATCATGATTGAAGAATGCGAGACCCCAAAGCAATGAGACGATTGCGTTTCCATCCCCCTGCCGAGGATGAAAGTGGAGACGGGGCGCTCAGTAGTGGCCGCCGGAGAGCTGGGAGACGCTGTCAGTCGGACAGTTTCAACAAAGCATGCGAACGGACCTTGGCCTTGTCCAGCGCGATCGAGTGGCCCTTGCCAGCAGATACAATGTCCAGCCCAGAAAAGTCCCATGTGCCAGTGCAAGCTCCGCAGTCGACCACCAGACCGTATGCGTTGCTGGTCCCAGACACCGTCGTCGGCGAGCCAGAGAAGCTCACACCCGAGATCGGTCCCCCAGTTCCAGGCTTGCCGTTGTTGGCGGGGTAGCTCTGCGTGATCAGAACGCCGTACGACGTGATCCCAGACAGCTTGTTGCTGCGGGGGGCGATGAGCAAGGTACAGCACGCACGCGTGCGGATACACCGAGACGCACCCATCGTAGACCACATTCGCGACCTTTGCACCCGTCGCCGACGCCTGCACCTTGATGCGGATCCCGTACAAGCTGTTCGTCACCGTGTTCCGCAGCGCCTTGAAGTTCGTCACGCTCTTCCCAGACGCCATCGACCCGATCGAGATCCCGTGCCCGCCCGCGCAGCTGTTGTCCTCGAACACGACGTTGTTGCCCGCATTCAGCGCGAGACAGTCGTCCTGGTTCTTGACCGTGCACGACGAGATCGTGACGTCGTCGGCGCTCACGTCAAACGCGTCGGTGTTGTGTCCGCCCTTGGAGTCGCCGAGCGCTGAGCAACATGTTGATCAGCTCAGAAACCCAATGATGACAAGCACGCGCGACCGAGCACGGCCACTCACAGTTGTCGACCGTGACATGCGAGATGGCCGCCGCACCGCCGGTCGTGCCGACGGAGATCGCCTGCGCCGGCGAGTTGAGGACGGTGAACTGCTGGAAGGTGCCGTAGCCCTTGACCCTGAAGCGCGCGAGTCCAAGGTCAATCCCCGCGGCCACAGTGGATGCGCCAGTGGACCACTCACTTGATGAACGGGTGCGGCTTGAACGAGCCACCGTTGGTTCCCTTGCCGTCCCAGTACGAGGCGCCGTCGCCGTCGATCTTGTGGTTCCCGCCGTTGAAGTTGATCGCGGGGGTGTTGAACGTGAAGAGAGGACCAGGGGCTGGGAGCGAGTGATCGACTGTCAGTCCCAGCGGATTGCCCATTCCGAGAAACTTTGCGTACTGGTCGTCTTCGCGAACACGACATCGCCGGCCATGGTGACCGTCGCGCCTTTGGCAGCCTGTAATCGCGCGTCAGATGAGATTACCCCGGCCAGCTACCGCGCCGACACGTACGGCGATCGTGATCGTGTTTCCAGCAGGCACAGTGAAGCCCTGGATGACGACGTTGGAGCATCCGCTCAGGTTCTTCGAGCTCGCCACGCTGTTGACCGTGCAGGACGCGCGTTTGTCGTTCTCGATGACGGCCAGGTTGCCCGGAAGCGCAAGCGCGACACCGACGAGGGCAGACAGCTGCAGGAAGGAAGTGATCGAAGGCATGTCGAGAAGTTGGAGGAGCTGGAGGAGAAGGGCGAGGGGAGGATGGTGTTGTGCTGAACCTGCGGAGGGCCTATTTTATAGACTCGCATCGCATCCTTTCCGAGGACCGGCAACGATGCGCCATATTCCTCGACGGCTCGACCCGTCAGGTCATGGGTCGTCTCGTGAATGAGTCCGAGTCCAAGTCCGAGAGTCGTTTGGCGATGGTAGGTAACGGGTTTTGCAAAGGACCAGGTCTGGCACGTGGCCGCAAATTAGACCCAAGCCGCCAATCGGGCGACTCCTCAAATTGATTGTGATCCCCGCCATTGTTTGGCGCGTCGTGTTTATCAGGCCGCTGCTATCCACTTCGTCTAGTCTTACACGGCTCACTGGGCCATACTCTTGCAAGTCAGACAGGATAGTCCCATGAGATCAGCGCACGCATTCTCCCCCATTTCATCCCCAGAAAATACGAGCGGCCGCGGTTGCCATGCCATCGTCCCAGTGCTGAGATTATCTAGGCTCGGTAAACTTCGTCGTTGTCCTTACGCCAAAACGGCTTCCTTTCATCCGAAGCCAATGCATGCATGCCATAAGCACAATCTGGAATCGTTGAGGCATAACCAGTGCCTATGCAGCAGACGCATTCAAGCTCCAGTCCTCTTCCCAACTCAGGCAAAGCACGGAGAGAAGAAATCGGGTCGTAGCAATGAATCCTTTGCCAGACACTGGAGTATGAAGAGGCGTAAAGTTTCTCGTGCCGTGATCCGAAGAAGGTCCGCAAGGTACAGGGTCAACCCAGCTCACCTGAATTGTGAGTTTTGATTCCGAACCCGTCCAGTCTCATGAATCTTTGTCTTCGGTCACGTTTGGCCAGTCCCAATGACAGTCGGATAATCCTGTCGCTTCACATCTGTCGAGGGAGCCACAAGCTCCGGTGCTACAGATGCAAGCAAGTATTTCCGGGGTCCAGACACAACTCGGCAAAAAAAAAATGAACGAGCCCTTGTGTGACTCGTCACAGCCAGTCCGCACAAACATCGCAAATACAAGTGACACAGAGATCTTGGGTGTGGAGGCTAGGAACGGCAAGCTGATTAGCGAGCAGTTCCATCTTTGATGGCCGCCGGAACGATTTGGTCACGTGCTCGAGACCCCATACGCCCAGCGCAGTCGCTCTATTGCACAAGCGTCTTTCTACAATACAGTAATGAGAGAACCAAATGGCATGATCAGACCATAGAATCCAGTTTGAATTGAGCAAGTACATCTACCACATGTCCGCGTTATTATAGTCCTCAGGACTGTCTTTGTCTGAAAACCATGCAAACACGTTGTCATCATTGCCCTGAATATCATTGCCTCCCATATCCGGCTCAACATCGTTTATCATGGCATTGAGTTGAGCCCAATGTTTGTCATCTGGATGTGTCCATCAGAGTGATTTAATAGAGCACCAGTCACATACCAAGTCCGTTCCTGCCGTTCATGCCACCCATATGATAAGAACCATCCTCTCCGACAATGCCGTCTCCACCGCAAAGCTCCTGCAGACTGGGAAGAAGCTTGATCTTGCCCTTGTACTCATCAGCAGCCTGAGTAAGTGTGTAGCCCCATTTCTCGTCTGCGCTTTGGTTGACATTGTGAATCTGATCAAGTTCACAAAACTTTGACAGTAGCTGGAGGTACACGTCCCAGCAGCTGTCCCAGTCAACAGAGGGTCAGCCAATGTCACAATAGAAACCGGAGATGAGGACGTCAAAGTCAGGTGGAACCAGTTCAAAGATCTGAAGGTCCGGTGGCACATACAAGTTACGTACCATGGCAATTGCAGTTGGATCAACCTTGATTTGAAACAGGTGAGACTTAGCACCAACTTGTTGAGTATTTTAAAGTGTTACCTTGAAATTCAGAATGGTGTAGTCTTTGGGATACTCAAACATATGCATTGGAACACCATTAGGAAGGATCTTGTTGCAATCATGGCACTTGCAAGTATTATTGACATAGTACTGATATGCATCAAGCTCAGCCTGAAGCCAGGGAATGAAGACCCATTGAAAGACAAGACTGGACAGACAGAATAGGTCATAGTGTTTCAAAAGAGCTCAAGGAACACATATGCTTCAAGGAGAATATGGGGATCATACCACCCTTCATGAACTCCAACATGAAGCAAATTCTCAAAACCAGGTGTAAAGCGCTGTCGCATCTGACTCCATGTAATCTCTGACGTAACATTCTTCTTCTCCCGCATCCATTGGTGCTGAAGCTTGCCTCAAAGGTTGGAATCTTGATGGTGGTGGATCAGAGTGTGTCCATTGGCAACAGCAGTGTTCTCGTTTCCTGGATTGCTCTGCATGACAAGGGGCATGACTATGCACTCAAATATGTGAGAAATAAGCGGGGAAAAAGAAGGGAAACACATACAACCAAGCTGCTCGATCACATCCAGGTGGTACTTGGGAATAAGACGAGAATTACTATTATTCCACCATATCTTCATCCAGTGAATAAGACCAATGAATGGATCAATGCCAGAGTGAAGCGCAAGTCTGAATTTGTAATTCCACTTGTTGTGTTGGTCCATGGCCCACAGGTCATTTGCACCGGCTGCCCAGAACCACTTTTGACAAAAATGTCCATGTTGACACTCGCAGACCTGCAGGGGCTCATGGAGGTGGAAGTACTGTATAACAACTGGCCTGAATAATGTGAATGTGGGCATGTTTCAAGGACAAAGTTCAAACAACACACCATGACTGTGACAATCAACAAGAAATAATGTCGAAAAGAGAAGTGAATTCGAAGACTGGAGAATACAACCAAGTAGCTACAGTATTTATACCCAAATCCAGTCTGAGTCATATCTACAACTAATGAGTCATAAGGCTATGTACCGCATGGAGCACTGGTCATGGGTGGTAGTAGAACCTTCCGGAGCATATGTCGCGCAGCCTCGAATCGATAGAGATAATCCCTGGAACCCCTAGCCTGGACCGTCTGATGCTGTGATCCGTGATAAGATAAGTTGTGCCAAGATAAGATAAGATCGTCAATGATAAGATGAAAAAGTGGCCGAACTATGACATTACCCCCTCTCTAGGGTCAATGTCCTCATCGACTAGGCCAATGGGTGTGAAGACATCTTCGTTAGGGTCAAAGAGTTGTTGGGGATATGGAAGGCGCTTGTCCCTGGGTTTGTAGCGATGAATGAGATAGTCCCAATGTCCAGCTTCAAGTGTTGGCAGGAGGCAAATGCGTGTGTCTGGGTTGGATTGTTTCCTCTGCCAATCTCTCAGGACTTTTTTCGCGTGGGTAAGGTGACATTGAAATGTTGAGGGCGCGCTCACAGGTGAATCTACTATGAAAGTAAACCCAAGTATAAACACGTTCACACTCCTCATAATCAGCTTCTCAGTGTGTGTAAGATGCAAGGGCTTCGGGGTGGACAGAACACCAGTATCACAACTCTCAATAGACGCAGATCCAATAGTTGCGGAAGACAAAGTCGACGACAAGAATTTATATATAGCAAACAGTGGTGTCTCAACCAATATCTTCTATACAAACAAAACCAACACTAATCCAACCACAAACAAAAATATCACAAGTCAGAGCTTAATACGAAGTATTAAGATCCCTTGTAGCGACAGCGTCCAGATGGCAACGCAAAGCCAAAATATCAAGTCAACGCACTGCCGACCGATGATAGGCTGGCTACCAGACACGCTCTGCACCAGCTCTGTAAGGGCGTATTTTTGGGCTTTTTACAGAGTTTACTCTCGAACCACTCGGTGTATCGTGTCGCGGTTGACAGTGTTGCGTTCAGTAGGGCTTAAGGGTCTACTGCCCAGTCGACGACTGTGGATAGTGTCGACGATAGCAAGGCAGTCAGACCACTACTGTGGAACTGGTCTTATGAGCCTATACCAGGCTCAGGGCTATTAGTGACAAACGCTTGGACCGCGACAATTCCCCAAAAGGGATCTTTTGTTGCGGCGACTTCTCAAAAGGGTCATTCTCTGCAGATGGGAACTTGGGCTGAAGGGCTGAGCAATGTGCGATGTTCTCAATAATACAACTACTACTGGACAGGACTTGGCGTTACGAGATTGAACCAATCTTGTCGCGGCAACTCCCAGTTTTGGGTTGGACCTTTCCTCAGATCATGCCACGGCGACGACTTGTCATATGTCAGGATCCACTCGATCACGGGACATTGTGGACGCGTTGCGGTGACACTTCCAAGTGTCACGGCAAGTCGCGGCACATGCCCAAATACACTAAGACCAACACGGCTAGATCCGTGAACCGAACCATGTAAGGAACGACTGGCGTGCCCAGGACCATGCGGCTTCTCGGGGCACCCACGTTGGACTCACTTGCCAAGACATACCCATTGGCCAATCCAGCACGTCGTATTCCAAAAGTATGACGCGGTGGGTTGGCCCACATCAAAAGTACCATATGGACTATGGGGCGGGGTCCTGATCACTCAGGACCTGTCTGATCGTTCAACTTTTCATTACTCTAAAAGGCAACCAATCTTAGATAGTGTAGCTACTATGCAGTTGTACAGGACTTTACTAAGCATTGTCGTAGACAGTATAAGTAGCACGTTGTCTCTTTGTATTAAAAAGCTTTCCCCGGACTGTGAAGCACTCTCATATCAGATTGTTTTGTACAATTTGCGTGCTGCGTTATTCCACCCTAAGAAGGTCTGCTACCCCTGCCCGGTTGCGACCAGTTGCTCCCTGAACACTTGTAGCTACTGTGATTTGAGTTTGAGTTTTGAGACATCAGAAAGTTGAATTCGCCGCATCTGGTTCGGTCGCGGGATTTAGTGTCGTTGCCTTTGGGCTTTGTTGAGATTGTTTCCACACCTCTAGTTTGGAAGTGCGTTGACTAGTTGTGCTCGGGTTGTTTTGGTCAGTTGGCAGTGCGTCGACTTGAGAACTGTGGTTCCACACTTCTTGCTTGGCAGTGCGTCGACAAGTTGTGCTTGGGTTTTGGACATTGGATATTGGCTGTTAGTTGGCAGTGTGTTGACGCAGCATTTTGTTTTACTAGTTGGCAGTGCGTCGACTTGATATTTTGGCTTTGCGTTGCCATCTGGACGCTGTCGCTACAAGGGATCTTAATACTTCGTATTAAGCTCTGACTTGTGATATTTTTGTTTGTGGTTGGATTAGTGTTGGTTTTGTTTGTATAGAAGATATTGGTTGAGACACCACTGTTTGCTATATATAAATTCTTGTCGTCGACTTTGTCTTCCGCAACTATTGGATCTGCGTCTATTGAGAGTTGTGATACTGGTGTTCTGTCCACCCCGAAGCCCTTGCATCTTACACACACTGAGAAGCTGATTATGAGGAGTGTGAACGTGTTTATACTTGGGTTTACTTTCATAGTAGATTCACCTGTGAGCGCGCCCTCAGCATTTCACCGATACAACCAAAATACTGAGTCGACGCACTGGCAACTAGTAGAACCAAAATCTCAAGTCAACGCACTGCCAACTGACACAACCAAAGTACTGAGTCGATGCACTGCCAACTAGTAAACCAAAATGCCGTGTCGACGCACTGCCAACTAACAGCCAATATCCAATGTCCAAAACCCAAGCACAACTTGTCGACGCACTGCCAAGCAAGAAGTGTGGAACCACAGTTCTCAAGTCGACGCACTGCCAACTGACCAAAACAACCCGAGCACAACTAGTCAACGCACTTCCAAACTAGAGGTGTGGAAACAATCTCAACAAAGCCCAAAGGCAACGACACTAAATCCCGCGACCGAACCAGATGCGGCGAATTCAACTTTCTGATGTCTCAAAACTCAAACTCAAATCACAGTAGCTACAAGTGTTCAGGGAGCAACTGGTCGCAACCGGGCAGGGGTAGCAGACCTTCTTAGGGTGGAATAACGCAGCACGCAAATTGTACAAAACAATCTGATATGAGAGTGCTTCACAGTCCGGGGAAAGCTTTTTAATACAAAGAGACAACGTGCTACTTATACTGTCTACGACAATGCTTAGTAAAGTCCTGTACAACTGCATAGTAGCTACACTATCTAAGATTGGTTGCCTTTTAGAGTAATGAAAAGTTGAACGATCAGACAGGTCCTGAGTGATCAGGACCCCGCCCCATAGTCCATATGGTACTTTTGATGTGGGCCAACCCACCGCGTCATACTTTTGGAATACGACGTGCTGGATTGGCCAACTGGTATATCTTGGCAGGTGAGTCCAACGTGGGTGCCTCAAGAAGCTGTATGGTCCTAGGCACGCCAGATGTTCCTCACATGGTTCGGTTCACAGATCTAGCCCGTGTCGCTTTTGATGTGTTTGGGTATGGGTGCAACTTGCCGTGACACTTGGAAGTGTCACCGCGACGCGTCCACAATGTCCCGTGATCTGTGACAATCAACCAAAATAATAGTCGAAAAGAGAAGTGAATTCGAAGACTGGAGAATACAACCAAGTAGCTACAGTATTTATACCCAAATCCAGTCTGAGTCATATCTACAACTAATGAGTCATAGGGCTATGTACCGCATGGAATACTGGTCATGGGTTGTAGTAGAACCTTCTGGAGCATATGTCGCGCAGCCTTGAATCGATAAAGATGACCCCTATCCCCCTAGCCCGGACCGTCAGATGCCGTGATCCGCGATAAGATAATCCGTGTCGAGATAAGATGAGATCGTCGAGGATAGGATGAAAAAAGAGTCGAATTATGACATTACCCCCTCTCTAGGGTCAATGTCCTCATCGACTAGGCCAATGGGCGTGAAGACGTTCTCGTAGGGGTCGAAGAGTTGTCGCTGGGGATATGGAAGGCGCTTGTCTTTGGGTTTGTAGCGATGGATGAGATAATCCCAGTGTCTGGCTTCGAGCGTTGGCAGGAGGCAAATGCATGTGTCTGGGTTGGATTGTTTCCTCTGCCAATCTCTCAGGACCTTCTTTGCGTGGGTAAGGTGACGTGATGGTTCCCAAGTATTTTCACTATGCGGCCATCCCTTCCATTTGACCAAGTACTGTTGTCCTCGGCTGACGTTTCGCTCTTTTACGATTCCTTTGACCTCCCACTCCTCTGCTCCTCCAATCATCTTGGCCACGGGTCTCTTCTCTCAGCGATGGGGGTGTGGTTCGTGATAGGGTGTCAAAAGTGAATCGTTGAACACCAGGTGTCGTCAGTCCGTATCCAGCAAATCCAGTTTCCATGCGGCCGCTCCAACCTTCTCCAGTTTCTTGTATGGTCCCAGTCTCTTGTTGCTCATCTTCTTCAATAGTCTATCTGTCTCAATATTTTCCCCCTCTATGTACACCTTCATCCCAACCTTCAACTCCGGAACCTCTTTTCTTTGTTTATCGTAGTATTTTTTCATTTTTTCTTTTGCTTTTTCCAATGCTGCCTTTGCTTCGTCCTGTATTTCTTTGATTCCTTTTACAAATTCCTCCGCCGACTTGTTCCTTGATTCCATCCGCTGCTCCACTCCCTTCCATGGGTGATATCCGTGATTTGCATAGAACGGCGACATATTGGTAGACGTGTTCATTTTGTCATTGTATGCAAACTCCGCCATTCCCAGCCACTCCAACCAGTCCGTCTGATGGTAATTGACGTAGATGCGGAGATAGTGCTGGATCTCCTGATTCATACGTTCCGTTTGTCCATCCGTGATCGGGTGATATGCGGTCCCCAGATTCATTTCCATGCCCAACATCCGATTTGTCTCCTTCATGAAGCCTTTGATGTAACACGAATC